ATTTATAATAAACTGGTTGGACCAACATTTGAACCATTGTTTCTTAATCTCACACCAGGTATGTTATATTAAAAGAACCTCCTCTCCCTTCTATAAATTGGAGCAAGACATGATACAAAGCTGAAAGGAATGGCTAACAAATCAGAAGGCTGTGTTGCCATTCAGTGAGTTCTGAATAGGCTGGAGGGTTGGACAAAGAGGAACCAGATGAGGCTTAATAAGAGCAAGTGTAGTGTTTTGCACCTGGGGAGGAATAACTGCATGCACCAATGCAGGTTGATGGATGACCTACTGGAGAGGAGTGCAGAGGTAGACCTAGGGGTCCTGGTAGACAACGGATTGGTCATGAGCCAGTGGTTGCCAAGAAGGTCAATGAATGCATTAAAAGGAGTCTGGCCAACAGGTCAAGGGAGGAGATCCTCCCCCTCTACTCTGCCCTCACCATGCCTCACCTGGAGTATTGTTTCCAGTGCTGGGCTCTCCACTATGAAAAAGACAGGGATCTCCTGGAAAGAGTCCAGTGAAAAGCCACAAAGGTGATCAAGGGACTGGAGCATCTCCCTTATGGGGAGGAAAGGCTGAGCGACCTGTATCTGTTCACCCTTGAGATAAGAAAACTGAGAAGGTGGTTGTAAATATCTAAGGTGCAGGAGACAAAGACATAGTCAAACTCTTTTCATCATTGTGTGGCAACAGGACAAGGGGAAACAGCCACAAACTGAAGCATAGGAAGTGCACAAATGTGATGAGATCATCTTCACAGAGAGTGTGATGGAGCACTGGAACAGGCTGTCCGGAGAGGTTGTGAATTCTTCTTCTCTGGAAATGTTCAAGACCCTGCCTACCTATGCAGCCTGCTGTAAGAAGCCTGCTTTGCAGGGGAGTTGGACTCAATAATCTCTAGAGGTCCCTTCCAATCCCTACAATTCCATGATTCTGTGATATTAGCTTGATAGCATCCCAGCAGTGGGTTATGCTGTTTTGTTGCAGATTTAACCCCCATGCCTTGAGAATCTCTGAAAGGACTTTAAAAGCATTTCCTTAAACTTACTAAATTTTCCCTTTTTCGTTAACATTTTCTTCTTTCTTCTTTTAAAGAGTTTATCTAGTCAAGATTTATCTGGATCTTTAAAAAGGCTTTATCTAGTAAACAAAACAAAACAAAACAGAGACTCATTCCTTATTTGAGATTTAAAATACAGTTTGGTGTTTTGTTACACATCCTACTCTCTTTTGGTTAAGTCATTGCATAAGAATAGCTTTATGTTTGCAGAGATGATCACTTTTAATGAGCACAGATGCAATTTTGTAGTGAGAAAAATAAAAATTTGATTAACAGCTTTAGTGAAGAGAGTTTACATTGCAAACTGTTTGGTCTAAGATTTAGTAATTTAAATTTGTCCAATTAAAATATTTTGATTCCTGTTCTAGTGATATGAGATAATGGCTTATAGCAATTATTGACTACAGATTACATATTGGATTATTTTTTTCTAATCTAATTCCAGGCAAGAGAGGGAGAGAATGCTATGGTTACTCACAATGATTTTAAATGTTGAAGTATTTAAAGCTCTGCCTGCAGCCATGAAGAGCTGGAAAGGGGCAGACAAAAAAAGACAAAAGATAAATGATAAATAGAATTTATTGCAAATATCATTAGTTACTGCATGATGTAAATGTACACATAATAATAAAGACCTTAGAGTCTTTTATTTATTAAAATTAACCACAAGGTTTGGAAATTCTTCTTGCCTGTGGAACTTCCAAATAAAATAGCCAATATTTTTTCTAGTGTACGTACTTGTGATATTATCCACATAAAGACGTGAAATATCTTCCAACAGCCAAGAACAACAAAAAAGTTTCAAATAAACTGTTATGTTCAATGTACAATTTCTTTTTTGCTGTTGTTGTTGCTAACATTTCAGAAGATGTGACTCACAGCTTTCTGTGACTATGCATTGCAGCTGAAATATTCTCTTTCAAAGGAAAAAAAAATCTAATGCTAAACACGATAAATTGTTCAGATCTCTGAATAATTTCAAGACAGAGATGTTCAGATGCTCCCTGGGCATTTAGGGATCTGATATTTATTTTTTCTGTGAATTACTACTGTTAAAGCCAGACATCTTTTGGTTCTTTACATGAACTTACTTCTAATAATGTAAATACAAATAAATACTCAACAGTGAATGCTTTTACTCAAATATGATACAAGTTGCCATCAGAATCTGTAATCTATGGTACAGTCTTATCACTCAACCTTTAGGCAATAAGAAAAAAATTTTTTGTCATACAAAAAATATCTTTTTCATAGTTTTGCTAACAAAGATGCATGATTTTCCTGTGTAACGCTGCGATTTAGGGAGATGTCTCTCCTATTTTAATTTACAATCATTATCCCTTGTTCCATTATTATTAGAGCATGTAATAAGTTGGTCTCCATCTTGTTTATAAGTTCCCCTTAGATACTGAAAGGCTGCAACAGAGCCTTCCAGAAACTTTATCATCTCCAAGCTGAACATGCTCAGCTTTAAAAAAAAAAAGTGGAGGTAAAGTAATTGAATCAAAGACTCAAAATATAAAAGGGCTGGAGAAAGGATTTACAGAAAGGAAATGAACTTTAAAACACTTTCAGGTTACTTTCAACAAGTAACCAACATCTTTTCCTAAATGTGGATTTAATATTGAACATTGAAAGGTATAATATCAGATCTTGTCTGTTAAATCCATGTTATTTTATTAATAAGATGTCAATCAACTAAACAGAACTAAGCTAGAAAGCACTGAAAGCAAAGCTTCATAAAACGGTGACTAAAGGTCTTCACTTAGGTACATTAAGGAATAAGAATAAATATTTTATTTACAGTCACTGCACCTTGATGCTGATCACAGAACATAAGAAACATCCATCCTTGTTATTGTTATTCATGTTAGCTATTACAAGATCACTGCCTTTTCAGAGAAGACATTTGTTGTTGAAAATATTATTGAAAAATATGTATCACTGTAACAGAATAATTTTAGCATGCGGACTCTCTCTTTCCCATTCATGATGCAAAACAATTCTGCAGACTTAAAGACTAAGCAAAAGACACACAGAAATTTTTCACTCCTGAAGGAACTAGATATCCTTATTAAGGCCTCTATGTTTCATGGAACCAGTCTGCTTCATAACCAGTTTGTTACTCTCACTTATTTTAGCAACCTTGAAAAACTATTCTTTTCTCCTTTGTATGAATCATCATGTCACAAAGAATATTTAAAATTAGTTTCTTCACCTTTTCTAAAACAAGGATGTAATGCATGGCCTTGCTTGCAGGTAGCATCTTCTTTTTTCTAGGGAAAATTCAGTGTTTTCTTATATGAATGTCTGTGGCAGGTGTAAAATTCTCAAATCAATACTTCATGACAAGCATTTCCTTGTTTTTTGTAAAGCTTGTTCTAAATCTATGGATGAGGCAAAACCCTAGAGTACTGAGGCTTACTTTTAGCTTACAATCTAGTGTATTTCTGGACTGAAGTGTGTTCACATTTAATATTTGAATATTTCACATTTTTAAATTTCTATACTTTCTGAAAATAGATTAAAAATCTATTAGATTTAATCTATTATAAATAGATTAAAAATCTGTACTTTATGTATTTTAAATTACAAGAATCATTGTATCCCAGATGCATACCTTGGGATCCACTCTTAATCCATTTGTCCACTCAGTTAGTAGCAATGCCATTCCAGTTTGTCTTCTAGGAAAGACCTCCCCATGTGCTTATTGCAATGCAGTTATCTCTTGATTCAATTAGCACTGTTTAGTGTTTGTACACAGAGAGCTATGCTGATGCTGGCGAAAGATTTTATTGATCTAATGTCCTATCACTATCTGATAACAAATGCTTACAGAATCAGTACAAGAATTAAGTATGAAATGAACTTTTCTTTAGTTTATCCCTCTAGCATGTGGCAATTGATTTATAGACTGTATTTGGCAGTCTATATTTAAAAATGTGAAATATGCAGACCCTATAGTTCCACAATCTGATTAAATGGACTTTATTTTGTGTGTGTGTATGGTACCACAGACTTGTGGTATACTGATAAACTTATTTCTATGGTACAAAATGGACCCATTTTATACAGAAAATCCCCAGTAGAATTGCATTTATTTTTCAGAAGACAGTCTATTGACTGTAGAGTTGTTATTTATCTTCTGAGTATTAAAAGAAGTATCAAAGCCCAAAGTATGGACAGCTTAATAAAATCAGAACATAAAAATATGACTGTCTCATTGGAACAAGTAACAAAAGTTTACAAATGAACATGCATTTATCCTGTGTTTCTACTATCCTGTCATACTAAGGATCTGTTCCAGCCTGGACTCTCTAGATGTCAATACAAATTTACACCAATAAATTCACTGATCAGATCAATAGCATATATTCTTATACAGTAATAAAATCCTGGTGAGTATCTGGGGAAAAATATGGAGTAACAGTCTTCCCTATATTCCTCAAATTCATATTTGCATATGTATGCATAGGAAATATTTCTTCACCACTTTATTATTTTAATTCATATTTAGTCTTTCAGAATACGATAAAACTCACTATTGCTGTATTAGCCAGAAGTGGTTCTGCAATAGGAGTTAAATTTTCTTCATAGCAAAATATTGCTTTTCTTTTACCTCTAGAATAATTTCCCAAAGTCTTTAGAGATAATAACTCAACTTCTGAAACGATCAGAGTTTCATCATGCAAAATCAGAACTCTTTGAGTAAGCATAACTCAGTTGCAGAGGTCAAGCCATATGCAGTTTTTAAATATAGCTGACTCCAATTTATTAAGAAGTTATGTTTTCAGCAAACATGTTTGAGGAAAAGAAAAAGGTATTAGAGGTACTTTTGCAAGCTTTTAAGAAAACAACCAACAAAATACAAAATATTTTTTATTTTCCTAATAACATTTTCCAATATATATCTTAAGTTTCATGACATTTTGACACAGCTAACACATTTTTTGCAATATCTTTAAAAGCAAATAGACAGATGCATTTTTTTTCTGCTGGAAAGTTCCATCCCACAAAAACTGAAGCACATGAATATGCAGATGAAGATTTATAATAAACAGAGCAGAGTCCTGCACTTCAAGGAGTTTTTTTGTGAGTCAAGATCACTCCTGTCTCCTTCGGTGTCCTGCATCTTATAACGTAGCAGAAAAAGACAGACAGCTTCCTTATCTGTAGTGGGGAGGGCCTCTGGGCATTCCTGGCTGTACTCCTGGAAAGCGTGGGTGCCCAGGTGGATAGCCTGGTGCTGCATATCCTCGTGGCCCCGGTGGCCGAGTCACAGCAATGGGTGGGGGAGGAAGGTTTCCTCCTCTGCCCTGTGGTGGATAGTGGCCATTCGGGGCAGCGCCTGGATGCTGTGGTGCCTGAGAGGAACTTGCTTCCTGTGGCTGACCTGTTGTTTTTGCTTCATTGCTACTCTGTTCTTTCTTGTTATCTGAAATGTGTTAGGAGAACAGAGTTAAGGAATGAAAATATAGAGCAGAAAACCTCTCTGAGGGAAAATCTGCAGCACATTATCTATTCCAGAACATGATGGAAAGTCTAGGGCCTAAAGCACCAACAGCTGTGTGAGCTATGAGTAGATCTGCTCTGCCTTGTGGCCAGGCTTCAGGATGAAGTATATAGATTAAAAGGTGTCATGGGGGACAAACAGAAGGAACAGGGAAACCACAATTCACCCTTGCACAGATAGGTTATTTGAAGGAAAAACACAAAACCCAAGGCAGCCTGTATCACATCAGGCTGTGGAAAAGAAAATTGAAAGGCTGGAGGCAAGAATTCAAATGAAAGGAGAGGATGGAAGCAAATCTGCACTCAAAGTTGCAAATTAAAACCCTCCTTGCCTGCTCCACCCCATGGGTGCCTCTTTACAACAGGTCTAAGGTACTTGATGTGCTTGATATATAATGTTCAATTTATTTCAAGAATCTAAGGAATAGAATGTGAAGGGCTGTCTCTAAAGAATAGTCACGAGCAAGTTAAAAGCTATGGGTGATGAAGACTGATGCAGCAAAGGGAGCCTTGCGATCGATGTCTACTACAGGCCACCCAACCAAGCAGAGCCTGTTGATGAGGTCTTCTACCTCCAGCTACAGCAGGCATTGTGATCACAAGCTCTTGTCCTCCTGGAGGACTTTAACTAACCCAAATATGGAAAAGTAGCATGGTGAGCTGTAGGCAATCCAGGAGTCTCCTGGAATGCATCGAGGATAACTTCTTAAGTCAAGTAATTGAACCAGGGGTAATGCAATGCTGCACCTGTTGTTCACCAGTGCAAATGAACTGATTGGTGACATCAGGATTGGAGGTTGCTTGAGCTGTAGTGTACAGCCTATGGCTGAGTTCATGCTCTGGATGGACATGAGACGGGAAAAGAGTAGAAACAGGACAGTCTGTACCTCAACCAGAAAAGGAAAGTCCAGGAGTGTGTATTCCCTCTCTTGAGTGATACAAGCAAGCTGGTAACAACAGACAAAGAGAAGGCTGAGCTACTCAACAATTTTTATTTTTTTGCCTCATCTTCTTTGATAACTGCTTGCCTCACAGCCCTCAAACTTTCGGTTTGGTAGAAGGGGACTGATTCTCCCGCTGCAAGTGAACCTGATGTTATGGTATTTCTTAAATAAGCCAAAGAAAGAAAAATGGATTGGCTAACACATGTCATTCAGTATGGTGAAAATTTTTTATAAATATTATGGCAAAGGTGGTAGTTAAGGTAAAGAAGAAGGCTATGATCCACTGTGCAAGTATTCCTCATCTTGAGAAATTCGAATCTGTATTTACCTTGATTTGCAGTAGATTCATCTTGCTTGCCTCCTTTTTGCTTTGACTGTGGTGGCTCTGTCTCAAATGGATTTTCCTCTTGTTCATTTGATTTTTGCGCCTTTTGTTTATTTCTTCTTTTATTTTCTTCTGCTTGCTAATGATGGAGAGATAGACAGGGCATCTTTCAGTAACCTGAATGTATTCTCTAACAATTGTAATAAACAGAAATAACAATTCCCCATTCCTTACACTTTGTAGTTTCTTTTTAAGTTCCAGGTTAGCTTCCTTGTAAGACTTGGATGTAGCATTGAGATAATAAATACTCAGGCTAAATTTAAAGAAAAAGAATATATCTTGTTAGATAATAGTTTAAATGCAAAGATTCTTGCAAAATTCCTATAGCAATAACTATAATTGTGCTAATACCAAAACTGTATTTTTCCTCATTTATTAGGCCTAATCAGAAGAGATATTTTGACAGTGAACAATGAAATATGAAGAAGGCATACTTATCTCAAGGGAAATAATAATAATAATATTTTAAAAAACAGAAATAAATATGGCAGCTAAGGAAAATTCTGCATCAAGCTATGCCTCACTATGAGGCATGTTCCAGAGACTAAAGTTAAATAAGTTATTCAATAAAATTTAATTACCTTATATGACATACTCTAAAAGTGAATAAACCATATTTAGAAGAGCTTTAAAACTAATACAACAGACAAGCTCAAGTGCTGGTAGAAAAATAGCCAAAATCATACATTTTATTTTTTTCTCTAAATCACAATCCTATTCTATTAAACAATATCACTGCATAGTAACTTTTCACTTTTTAATGAATTGTATTTCTTTCATAATAACTCTGTGAGATGATTATTATTTTTTACTATCTTAATTAGTGGAATTCTGATATGAAATCTTTTATTGAAGTAAGCAGTAAATAATCTTCATATCCCATTTTCACTGCTTTTCCTCTTTAATCACTTCCCTTCTTCCCCCCAACCCCCTAAATTTTATTTTTATTTTTGCCTTGGCCCACAGCAAGATAGGAATTGTGCTCAGAATAATTCATTGGGAACAAACTGTATAGTTCAGAGGACAATTTAGGCTCTTTGCTTTTCTAGCTAAGAGTAAAACAGGATGAAATACTAAGTGAACCTTCCTAAACTTTCATCTCAGAGTCTCATTTGTTTCATGTAAAAGCCTTCTGCAATTTTTGTTCCATTCTGTAGTGTTCTCTGTGTTTCTGGCAGTTCCACAGTGTAGGGTCAAGCCCCTTTCCATTTCTACCTCAATAAAATCTTTGAGAAACACTATTCAGGTTCATTATTCTTTATCTGCTACAGACCTATTAAAAATCCATAACAAGAAATTGAACATAAGAGAATTTTAGAAATCTACTTGGGACTGGAACATCTCCATAGTATATCTCCCTAACTCTCTCTCTCCCTTCAATTCCATCTCAAAGGGTACAATTTTTATCAAGGAAGGGCTCTGGCACTCAAGATCAGACACACTGAATGTTAATGAGAAATAGTTCAGCTTCTTGGTAGCCATCATTCTAATAACTTTGTACTGAACTTGTTAAGGATTTATGAGATGTAGTTCTACCTCTTGGACAAGCTGATCAAGGTCACAGCACTTCAAATCCCATAACCCTTTGTATTTTGATTAGGGTTTCTCCATTATACTAGCAAAAGCAAAAGCAAAAAATAAAAAAATAAAAAAAAAGGTAAAAAGTAAAAAAGAAAAAAAAAAAAAAAGAAAGCTGCGGAACAAAAAAAAAAGAGAACATTGTCTGTGGAAAAGTACATTAATTATGACCAAATAGAAGACTTGAATTCTTCATCACAGGAGAATCAGTACTCTAATTATGTACTTAAGCAATAAAAACTCAGACTAAAAGAAAATGAACAGACTTTTCATTAAGTATTAAGCAAGATGTCAGTTAATATTCTATACGTACACCATCAGTAATATAAAAGGTAGGATGAGTCCAGGGTTAGAGGCATAACCAAATACCTTCCCAAACCAAGAAGGGAAGTCATGCTCCAGAGTTTCTGATATGACTTCAAACATTCTTGTTTTCCCACTATTAAACAGAAAATGTGAAAATATGTGAAAAATGAAAATATTTTGGCAATGTTAATACAGTAGCAAGCACATATAAATTAAACATATCACACCAAATCTGGGTAAAAGGCCAAAAAAACCCTGCATTTTGGCATTATTTAAAACTTAAAATTCTGTAAGCATCTTTCACACTAGAACCCATAATAGTCTTCTCCATAACTTTGCCATATAATGCAGTTAATGTAGCAGGTCCGTATTTTCCAGGGTTTTCTCTCATACACTTCATGGGTATAATACTGTTTAGCTTCCAGCTGGCAGGCATCTCTCCAGTCTTCCAAGACCATTGCTAAATTGTTGATAAAAACAACCATTAACTGCTTCAGTACTTGGATGAATCCTGTCAGGCTCTACACTGTGACTCAAATAGTAAGAAACCTTACTTTGCACCACTTGCTTTGTTATCATCACTTCTGTAAAATCTAAGCAAGATTATGTCTCAGTAAACTTTTAGAATGTCATGCTATTATCCCTTTAGGTCACTGTGACAAATGCAAGTGGCTAGATGAATATACCAAAATAAACCAAAATCAGAATTTCACGTATTGACTGTTGTGTGCTCATTAAAATCATATGTCATGCTAACTACCAATTAAAGATGCTGAAAATGGTCTTGAACTTTCCAGTTGAAAGTATGGCTATATTTAAACTAGCTTGAATAGAAAGCACACATTTGCACTCATGCGGCAGGCCTAAGTATTTAGAGAAGACTAGTGAATATGGAGGTCCTGAGAACTCGAGGAGCATATTCAGGATCCCAATGGAAATAAAAGAGCATGAAATATAGTGTCAGCTAGAGGTGTCATAGCAGTCAAAGACTGTACCACTACTTTGAGCTCAAGCACACCAGTATACACTCTATCATGCCACTATTACAGTGATACATAGACATTTACTGAAAATCACCACCCTCAAGCCAGAAGACCACAGTGGCATAACTGTCCCCCGCTCTACTCCTCAAGAATAATTTCTGGCTTAATTAGAGCAAGAACAACAAATATTTACACTACAGCTAACTAGAAGAAAAGATTTTCTGATCTACTCTCAAAAAAAAAAAATATTTTAAATCATTAATCAGTTGTTTTGGATTCCAGCTTCAAGAATTATTACAGTAAGAAATGTCACACAATAAAAGTTCAGCAAATCAGGTGCTAACACTTATTAAGGAAGCTTATTTTCATTACTGGATCATTCACTGATGACGCAGTACATCATATCATTAGCAAAAGATGTACATAAAATGCAAAAGACCTGAAAGGGCCACAGTCAAAAGATGGTGGAATGGAGACAATGGTGTACACAGCAGGCAGTGTAGAAAGAAAGAGAATGAAAAGCAACATGGCCATGTAGAAGTTGTTTGATCTGGAGGCTTTGAAGACTCTCTCTTGGGGAACATTGCAGCACATCACTGCCCAGCATTGCAGGTACATTGAAGTATGAAGTCGGAACACATTGATTGCTGGGAGACATGGAGCATAAAAAGATCCCATCCTAGAAAGAAAAGCAAAAAAAACACAATCTCACAACATTTTCTGGTAGAACTTCTGCCAGGATATACTGCCTGTTCTCTACTTCATTCTGCTTTGCATTCATGTACACTGCACATTATTTCATAAAACTTGTTGACACTTTTTTGTTTTTAATGGTCTTGTCTCTCCTTGCTTTAAGAAATACTGGAGGCACACGGACAGAATTCTCCATATGTAGTTTTTGTTTCAAAATTCCAAAATCATCTTTCTCTGCAAATGAGATCACTTAATGAAACGTTACTCATTCTTACCTTGTACGGTTAGCTTAGGTAGTATTAGGTTAGTCTAGGTTGTATTATATAAACATGGACAGCACAAAAGCCAAGTATTACCATAATAATCTAGTTTATTATATTTCTTAATATTCTAGCACCATTTTAGGACAGAATTATTGTTGCTACATTGACTATGTCCGGAGTACAGAGATGTCATTTCAAAGTACATGATATTAACATTTCCCTCTTCTTTTCATGTATATTCAGTGAAAAGGAAAGATAAAGGCTTTTCAGATATCATTGAAGACAGAGAGCACCTCATGGCCCTACCCTTTACCCACATGGAAGTCTGTTGCAATATACTCTTCAATTTCAAGAAGATTCTCAGTAATCTATATTTTTAGTAATGTATATTTTAGTTTTTAGGTATAACACTTTTAACAGGTAGACAAAAATTTGCCAATAGCTTTTTGATACAGAGAAGACTTGCAAATGATTCATATCCCAATCATTTTGTAAATACACAGGGAAAGAGAATAAAGGAGCTTTTCATGGTCTATCTCATCTACAGAAATAATACACACATACATCTCATCCCTTCTATTTAAGTGGCAGTTATAACTGCACCTGAGGCTCTTTTTATTATGTTTCATATGAGCATAAATTTGTAAAAACTGAATTTGTGACACCAAAACAAAACAGAAATGAATTTATCCTATGTACATATTAATGGTAAATATGATTTTGGCAGTGAAGGTTCATTACTGTTTGTTCAAATTTTTTTGCCATTTTGATGTGTTCAATTCATCAGCCTGTAAGAAGCAGTTAGCAGGAAGAAAGATTCTATATCAAAATGACATCGGAAACACACAAGTCACAGATTCTGTGAAGCCCTCATTCTACTGAGAGTAAAGACAGAGCCATTGTAATGGTATGTGAAGTGTGTCCAGGTCCAGCTCAGCCCAGAGAGCTGCCTTCAGCTGCAAACCTGTACTCGGCCCTTCCTCTGCCACCACATCCATGCTGGGACCTGGCCTGAATCCAGGGACCACGTGAAGCACCAAGGATGTATTCAAGTTGCTCAAGAGGGACAAGCTTCTGTGGCTGGACAGTGGGATGAGGAGCCTGAGCAGGAGAGGTGCAGTGGGAGTGCATGGTGCCAGCGAAAACTCACTTCCCCAGATGCTGGAAACTGAGCACTCTCCTCATTTCTAGCAGTGCCCAAGGCAGGACTATGCCTGTGCATGCACAGGAAGGAGGGTATGTACAGCTCTGTTCATGCTGCACAGGCAAAAAATAAATAAATAAAACAACATCCTGGGAATTATAGATGTGAGAATTTTTACTCAAGCAAAAACTGTAATTCACAGAGTACTGTTAAAGGCAAAAAGCTAGGCCCTAGCAAGAATAGAGAAGTCAGCGATGCTTGAGGAGGGCAGTTCTGAAGAAGGCACAGCATCTAATATGAGGATAGATGTTCTTTACCCCTGAGCTACACTCCAAGAATGGGATGAAATTTAGATCTTTCCTCCTTGAGGGCTACTCACTACCACTGTAGCAGAAACATTTGATGCACACTCACGTTCATACAGGACATATTTAAGGCACTTTTGAACATGATGCATTGGAACAAACTAGAAGATATTTCCATTTCAAAGCATTCAAATGACTGGAAAACAATCAACAGTAAGACAGGATTTCACCCAGCCTTTTACTGCAAAACTCTACAAAAGTCTGATGCATCTAGTCCCAGAATATCAGCACAGAACTAGTTTAGAAATACTCCCACTTATTTCCCTGTACTGGAGTACTGCATTACACTGGCATCAAATTAAATCACTGAGACAAGATTGGCATTTCACAGATGCTGTTAAGTCCTGCAGTACTCAGTGAGTGCTGATGCACAGAGGTACATTACAGGCATAGCACACATTGCCACACTTACCAGATCATGCCTTGATTAAATATCAGTCCAAGCACATTCCCACTTATATCAAATTCTGAATATGATGGCTGAAAGAAATAACACAAATGTTTTCATTAAATTTGCACAGAAGTTTCTGAGATGATTTATCTAGATTAAAACTGTCACTTCCAACAGCAGTGCAATACTTGCACTGTGTTGTAAAGATGTTCATTGCATATTATCAGTGAATAATGAGACAAATGAGGATGGCTGAAGGCCAACAGACAGACTTTAATACTGGTTGCAGAATTTTATTGATGATTGCTTTTGGCTCTTTGCTTAGAAGAAGATGCTAGTGGAAAATTAGATCTCTGGGTACTGGATAAATTTTAAAACAATAATCCATATTTTATCCACTGGAGTAGAATCAAGATTTGGTGGTCTGTTCTCCCTCCCTCCTCTCCCCCCTCCCACCCCCAAAAAGGGGGCTGTTAAAATTTAATTCCTTTTCAAATTATAGAACTATGTTTATATTTTAAATTTAGAAATTGCACTGTTGAAGAATTAATTAATTAATTAAGTGCCTAGTGTTAGATTTTAATACGCATAGCAATTCTAGGAATATAGGGTACTTCACAGAAATAGTGTGAATATTCACATGTTAAAATGTATCAAATCTATGTGTTTTAGCACCTGGGGTGCATACTAGGAGCAGTGATCCAGCATGTACCCAATACAGCAGAAATGTAATGCTGGCTTCCTAACTAGTCATTCATGTTAGCAAGTGTCATTCACAGATTCCAGTGACATTTCCATGTCTTCACTCACTCTGTTAACCAGTCTCTCTTTAATTCATGAACATTTTCAAGCTGCAAGCACTGAGTACACTGAATATGAGCAACAAATTAAGTACACACTTATCAGTATGTACGCATGTGAGTGATGATCTGACAAAGACAGTTAAAATAGCAAATCAGATACTTACAAATCCATATTCCAAGTCCCAGCACCAGCAGTAATTGAAAAACCTAACAAAGACAGCTCTCAAGAAATCACCAATTAGAATTGTGATATATGTTGTCATTGTGTCAGAGACTGTCAGCCGTACAAATTCCTGTCAAAGCAATATTTTCTTTTAAGAATACATGTATGCAACAATAGTTACAATAATAATAAAACACCAAACTAGTGTGTAACTGAATATGCTTCCTCTGCTCAATTTGGCAAAGACTCTCTTCTCCCAGTCCAACAACTGAGAAATCTAGGAGAAAGACTGCCCTACATTTGTTACAGATATCCTCTGCTTCTTCTTATGCTCATAACAAATGACATTTCCCAGAGCATGATTAGTCTGAAAGATGTTTTCAGACAATACTGCTTCTATAGAAGAACTCTAAAACCCCTTCTGATTACTATAACTTTGGGGAGATTCAAAAAAAAAAAAAGAAGAAAACCCTGCAATACTTATTCCTCTTATTTTATTTCAGTAAGTTCCACTAAACTCTACTGTATCAGGGCTTACCCTAATTGCCCAAAAAAATACTATTATTCTCTCTGATCTCAAAAGACATAGAAAATCAACACAGTAATGAAACCTGGGTGTTCTTAGCTAATCATTCCACATCAGTGAAAAGAGTTCAGTGTTTGTTTTCTTCCCGCATTTCTGCTCCCTGCTGCCACTCAAGAGTGTACATTGTAAGTGAGGAGACTGCCACAATGAGGGAGCAATAGCAGAAGTTGTGATTCAGTGGTGAATTCAGTCTCATGGCCAGGGGAAAAAAAAAAAAAAAAAAAGAGAAAGATGATCAATCAGAGAAAAGAAAGATGTTGGGAAATTCTTTGTAAGTATCATATTATATGAATACAAATAATTATGAATCAAATAAAATGAGTAGATTTACTAAACTGATGTTCTTTATTTTACATGATATTACTTGGCTAAAGATAAAAATGCTTTCTCAAATATACACTCCTAACAAGAGCTGACCTCACATATTTCCTTGTTGAGATATTCATCAGTCTGTTCTAAGTGTGTTGTCTTCAGAAACTGATTTGGTTTGATACAAACTTTAATCAGAATTACTACATTAATTAATTGTTACCACTGATCCAACTTTTCATAGTTGCAGGCTTTGCAAGACAGAGATGAGATTAAAAAAAAAAAAACAAAAGAAGATGAAGAAAAAAAAAGAGAAATCCTTTTCTGCTGTTAACTATGCAGAGGGATCTCCCTACCAGATAAAATTCAAATAAATTAAAATAGCTCTTTCTGAGCTTTGCAGCTTGGGAAAAAATAAGTCTTAAATCTTCATTTCCTCATGTTTTCACAACTGAATTTAACTTGTCAGCAGGAATAAATAGAAGTTTGATATGATTTCTTGTAATAGACTATGTTTTATTTTCAAATATGAACTCAAATTAGTTACATTACCTGGCCTACCATTGTTTCCCAACAGGGTCCTCTGGGAACATCTGCAGGGTCCACCTGTATTGGAGGAGCAGTTGAATTTTCTGGAATAGTGCCATTGTATAGACTGGCTTCCCATATTGTCATGTTATACTTGACTATCTTTTCCTCTTCCAACTAAATATTTAAATTAATGAGGAAAAAAAAAAAAAAAGGAAAAAAAAAAAGATTATGAGGTTATACTACCAACTTTTAATCCTTTCAAATCCAAGACTCCCTCATCTTTCACTGATACATCTGTGACACAGCCATAAACAGATATCTTTGACCTGCTGTATATTAAAAATAGTGAAGAGAAGTAAATAGCTTGCCTTGAGATTGATTTCATCCATTAGGGCAATAATGAAAGTGTAGAGATTGCCAAGAAAAAGAGCAAATATGCGTCCGAGCTGCCATCTTAGAGCTATTCGAGGATGGTAGTTTTCCAGAGAACTGATTACATCAAATAAGGTTGGACAGAACATTCCCAAAAGTGACATGACCATGTTTACCTAGGGAGGTGGGAGAAGAAAAGAGAAAAAGTATTATTATTAATTGTAGCAGTGAGTATATTTTCAGTGCTACTTTTCATTTGGTATTTGGTTGAAATGAGTGAAGAGCAGAATACACACCGAGAGTTGCAAGATGCTTTCACGAAGAACAAAGTGAAAACTTACTTATGATCTACTGTAGACAGATATATGGAGGCTTTTTTTTTTTTTTAATTTTATATTTTCCTTCAATCTCAGAAAAAAATCAAGTACTAGATTTTTAGCTACCACCTATATTTTAAGCAAAATTCTATCAGAGAATTTAGCAAAAATTATTAGTTATGTGAAAAATTTCTCTAAAAATACAATGTTAAATTAATGTCTGAGACATCACCCATATACTCACTGAATAAGTAAACAGAAATTAGTCCTGATGCTTTCTGCATATATTTTTTTATGCCTCTAACAAGATTAATTCATCAACATATATGTATGGGAATTGAATAAGTTCACTGAAAGCAAACTGAGAAAAATAAGCTTTAATAGAAAGTTTGAAATTCAGCATAGATTGTGTATGCTACTGACAAGGGAGGCATTCCAAGGATCTAACATTCTTAAGTGACTGATAAAATGTATTGCAAATATGCTTGAGTCTTTTGGTGAAATAACACAAAATCTAATTGACTGTATCAGTCAAAAATGAAAATCAAAGAAGTTTAGAAGTTCATTTTTAAATTTCAATTTCAAATAACATTTCCTTACCAAAATTTCTTCCTTAAGGGACTGTAAACAACCAAGTAACTGAAAACATTATCTCAAGTTAAATCACAAACCTCTGTGGAAAACACAAAGATTCTCGGTATAGATGACTCATATTAAAGGCACTGAGTAAAAATAAATTTATTTAGTCACAAAAAAAAAAACTTAAATACTTAAATGTCTTCCAGTTGCTCTGAAAATAACATCTCTTAAATATCCTGGAATCCACTTTTCTAGAACAATTTAATTTTTAATATGGTCTTACCTTCTTGATATCAAGAGAGATAAGATGTGTTTTTGTTCTCATAAATAAGAACATAATATGGTAACAGAAAAGCACTATTTAACAAATAAATTCACTGTCTTTTTGTATTTTCACACTCTTACAAATGCTAATTTTCTGAACTGGGCTTCTTAATTAAAATAAGTAAATGGTTTGATGTATTTTTTTTGTTGTTTTTGTTGGTTTTTAATGTTCAAGAACAAATTTCTGGATTTTTGTATTTCTATTCCATATTCATAGGAAATCAGTAGCATACTCCACACACTTCTTGTAACACCGCAGAAGATTTTTTTATTACAGTAATCTACTCTTTCATCTGTATTTGGTGCTATTTCTGATACTTGGTTTGGGGTGGTGGTGTTTATTTTATTTATGTTTTTAAAACTAAAATTTCACAAAGTATCTGTTTCTAACACATACACTCTCAATCATCATTAAACAAAAGACTTCATAAACAGTATGAGATGGCTGGAAATGGCAAACCTGCTGGAGACAACTACATCCAACACTGCAAATAATGAATTATTAAGACACAAAATCATCGTAACTGGCTGAATATCTAAGTTATTATTAGACACATAATGCTGTCAATTTTAAATGCTGGAGAGTGGAAATGTAAGCATATCAAGAGATGCCTTTGGTCACACTTGACCTAGCCTAGACCTTGGGCCTAGCCCAGTTGCAAATGAGGAAGAACAAAAAAAAAATGTCTGAGTCTCAACTCCAACTGGGACTCCAACTCCAGTTTTCACTTGAAGTATAGCTTTAGTCAGGTTTGCTTTTTTTTTATCTTTAGTAGCTCCCAGACAATCTGTCTTATCTTAAACAGTCTTCCTTCAGACAAACATAAATTTCAATATTCACAGTATTGGCATCCATCACCCATGCATTCCATTTCTTTTGCTTTTTTTTGAACCTTGCTCCTACTTGACTCATTTGTTATCCCCTACTTCCTTGATTTTGGATGATAGAAGAAAATATGGCCTTCTTCTATGGATAGAAGAAAATATGGATGATGGAAGAAAGTATGTTCTTCAAGTAGTTTTAAATATAGTGTTTGTTAATGTAATTGAAAATTAAGAAGTATCCTTGTTGCTGTACTGTTGGAAAGGCAGGAACAAATCACTGGTTTTCTTTATCATTCAATATTTTGTATATTTTTATTATGTTCTGCTTTTCTTCTTATTTGTAAGAAGTAAGAATATTATTTCTCATTTTCTTTTTATCTGCATTGTCCCATGCCTTGACTGTGCTCCCCACCTCAAAAACATTTTTAGTTCTGGGACAAAGACATTAAGATAAGAGATGAAACAATGCACAGAAACCTGTAAACCTGAGAAGTGAGAAATGAAATGATTACAGCCAAACATGCAAGTACTCACTGAAAGAAAATATGGAATATTGAGCTTTCAAAATTTAAAAAAAAAAAAAAAAAAAAACTAATGGATTCCACATTGCAAAAGTTTAAAAATTCCTAATTTAGTTTCACAGGATGTTATCATTATATTTTTTAGTTACTTATAGAATTTTTCTGAGTAGAAGGAAATATGTCATTCATTGAATTTTATCATTTTAGTTTGATTTCAGAAGGGAATGGGTTTATGTTCTGAACTTCTTGTCAACTTCAAGTTGAAGTGCTGGAGCAGATTTTCTTCCACTGTTTATATCATGGACAGTTCCACTGTGAATGATGTTTTCTGTGATCTGGAAACTGCAAGCTGGATGAGTGAACGGTGAGGTGGATTGAGAACTGGGTGCACTGCAGGACTCAGAGGGCTGTGAGCAATGACACAGTGTCAAGCAGCTGGCTGTGTCCACCAGGGGTCAATACAGGATCCAGTATTGTTTAACTTACTCATTAGAGACTCGGATGTGACATATTTCTTTAAGCAATACAGTTTTGTACATGACTTTTCCAAAAAGGGAAAAATAAAGTAATTTTTTTGTCAACTGATTAAATCAAATTTAAGAAGGCCCATTTTTCTGCATTTTAAAGGCAGATTGCTGAAGTTTGTATGTCAATTTCTGTGTGAAGTTTTGGTGCTCTAAGTTAGGGAATGACTTTCTTCATAACATCATCATCCATTCCCATCTGCTCTGTGAGGCGGGCATTTTTTTGCTTTGCTGTAAATCAGAAATCAATTTCACACTCTCACTCAGAGCTTTAAATAACAAACAGCTAGTTTTACAACATACATAACAATGTGTTTGTTAAGAAAGCAAAGCCTACCCAGGTTTTTATACAGCACAGCTGACTTTAGATGCTTACTGTTCTGTTACAGCAAACACAATCATTTTCACTATTTCTCTAACAAGCAAAGCTCCATTTGCTCTAGATGAAAGCAGATTAAACAGAAGAAAAGAAAGACGGTGGACTCCTAGACTGGCAAGTGAAGCTAGAAGGCATGTTTCGTTACATTGCAGGCTTGTATCTTTGAAGCCTCAGTTAACTTTGGACATGGTCACATACAAGTCACTTTCCTTGTACAAGTCTCAACAGAAAAGCAGCACGAGAGCACACTTCTTGAAGAGATATTGTGAGACCATAGAGTAGCAAGAAAAATAGTTTTAAAAGCCCCTCCAAAAATAAAGGTTAAGTCCATAAAGGAAAACTGAACATGAAGAAGCATTTGAAAGAACAAACCAAAGAGTATTCCTTTCATGAATTGGGAAGCAGAGAGACTAGAAGAGTTCTTTTGTTACAAATTTACCACTCCTTATTACTTACTTATTACAAGTACTTAAATTCTCAAGGGGAAAAAAAAAAAGAAAAAAGAAAAAGAAAAAGAAAAAGAAAAAGCAACATGCGGAGTAAAGGAACAGTTTCAAACCACATCTATTTCAGAAATGTGCTAGCACGAACTTCATTTCTTTCCCACCACCCGTAGTTCTCCAGACCTTCCAGGGCAAATTTCTGGGATCTTCTCACAACAAAAAATATGAGGTAGCCACTCCCAGCAAGTGTGCACAGGGCTAAGAAATTAGCAAGCACCCTCAGGAACCGAGTCAAGTGAATATTTTCCTCCTTTCGGCTCTCCTGCTCCTCCACAATAGCTTCCTGCGCTTGTTAGAAACAAAAGAATATTATCAGTACTTTAATGGTCAAGACTCTACATTGCTTATCCAGTTAGAATTTAGTTAAATAAGCTATGACAAAGCAAATGCACACCTGGGCATCATGTTTTCAGGCAAACACATATTGTATCAGAAAATTCGTTTTGGATCTTTATGGACTCTGGGGTTTGGGATCCCCAGAACCCACTTTGCTTTGATTTAGTGTATCCCCGCTAATTCTCATTACACCTTCACTCATGTTTCAGTATGAAATCAGCACTGTCCGCTTACGAGGTGCTGTGAGATTGAGTCACCAGCAATGCACACATGGTTAGCTGCCAGAAAAGGAACTGTCACACTAAAAAGAAATGCACATTTGTGATAGAACAGCAGTATGAATTGAAAATCAGAAAATGAGGAGGAATGAAAAGGCTGTTTACACTTAGAATTGCAGGAAAACAAACAAACAAACAAACAAACATTACACAGCTTCAGACTGTAATATGAAATGTTTGCCTAGTATATACCGTTGGCCATGACTCTGCTGTAAATGAAATCTCCAACTTCCTGCTTTTGCCAACAGAAAGACTTTTCTCTCTGTAATGTCTTCATGAAAAGGAAGTTTGGTTACAGCTTCTTATTTTGGTATAGATATCAGTCATATAGAAGGGAAGCTGGATGCCTGAATTGTACGAATTTTTTTTTTTTAATCTTGGTTCCACTTTTCCTACTGCACATGTTCATTATGTAAAGGAAAGGAGATTGCAGAAGTTCTTAAGCAAAACCTCAAGAACATCAGCCAAGTTAAGACTTCACATTTTCCTTGTTGGCAAAAATTACAGTAAATGTTCATGAGTGTTTTTCTCAAAAATAAGTCTCCATCTCAACTGATTTATGTTCTTCTCCAAATGTCATAGCTGACTTTCACAAGCAGGCACGGAAGTCACACAGACATTCGATGCTTAGTATTTCGTGTCTGTTTTCCAAAGACCTCTTCTTTCCACTTACCTTACATGCAGATAAATTTTATGCCTACAGTTGGGAAGGTGGGCAGTATGGAGAAACAAACTGGTTATACCACTGCTGCAGAAAGGAACAGTGTTGTGTATGATAGGACATTATATTCTACGCTTGGTCCTTCAGTTCCTATTGCTGTTTAACATCATGACTGCAAATCTAGTGTCCTATCATTGTAACATGTTGCCAGTGTGTTCTCCAAATGTTATTTGAAAGCTAAATTATCATTTACATGACATACTGGCATTTCCCTATATAGAAACACTTTATTTAGCATTCAATAGGCAAAATACTTCCCCTGTATTGTTTTTGCAGCATTGCATCTCACATAGCACCCTAGATTACCCACACAATGACTGCTGAAATCATCATGCACTTCAAACTGAACAGAAGCCTGGCAAAATCTTATATTCTACTGCAAACCGGGCTACATTTCATAATTGATTTGAATATAAAAATTTTCTTATGAAAAGTAAGTATACACTCAAAATTTTGATGAAAATTCTTATATGATGAATAGCCTGTTTTTGTTTGTTTGTTTTTTGATATTGCAGTCTTGTGGTATCTCTTGAGTAGCAAGAGAAGAATGAATAAGCCTTTTTTAAAAAGTTTTTCAGGCATAAGCATGATAGAAACCAGGAAAAGGCAAGGATTATTTTTTCAATATGATCATTTTTCTACAGTTAGTTTTGCAGTCACAGATGACAGAAAAACAGGATGGAAATGCATAAAGACTCAGAACCAGAGGCGTATAGAACTGCCCACTTTGGTTAAGCATCTAGGTTCCAGGTAGTTTATACTTGGCCTTAGTTCCATCTGATTCACAATAATGTGAAAGATAAATCAAATTACATCTCTCTAGTGATCTTTGTTTTACCTTAAAGCTGGTAGTGATAGAAGCAAACTTATTATCTGCTGTCTCAGGATTGCCAATCAGGTAGTCCCAGCTTGTGAACATTTTCCAGCTGAAATTAAAGCTAGTATCATCCCCACCACCGTCTTCATTTGCATTCCTTGCCATTCTACAAAAATCAGAAACATGCAGAAAGGCTCTATTAGAGCTAGTTTTGCTCTGTATGCTTTTTAAATTCCACCTAACGCTCTAATTTTATTCTGAAAAACATATATATTATTATTACAATCAGTCATGAAAAAAATCTGCTTTAAACAAGGGAAAACAATAGAGATTTTGATATTTTTAGAGAATTTATCAGATAAAATGTACTCATTTTCATGAGAAAAAAAAATCAATGTATCTCTTGAACATCTCAAAGGAATTCTGCTGAATAAGAAACTCAAACACAATGTTAGGTAGATCTCTCAAAGAGGAAGTTGCAGTAGATTTGATTAGAGACTTCATTAAGAGGAAGAAAAGAATTCTAAAATAACCAGTCAAAACAAAATAAAAAAATCATTAATAAAGCTCTTAGGCTTGTCTCTCATCACACATGTATTTTTAAATGAGATTTGTAACAGTATCCACAAACATCAAATTCCTTCTTTATTGATTTGATTTCGTCTTGACTACTCAATTTACTCATTTAATCTTGGACATTGCATTGATTTTTTGGTCAGGGAAATGCAATCCTTTTTTTAAAGCTGACTAATGTAGTAGATTCATTTTATTAATATCAATACATAGCATATAACACATTTCTAACTGTTCAGTGAAATGCATACTCTCAAACAGAGAAATAGAATTATAAGTCAGGGACACAGCAAATGCTTTGGAACTGGCATAATCTAATACCAGTTTGTTGTTGTTGTTGTTACTATTTATTTACAGAAGGGCGTATTATGAAACACTCTTGATAGGATCTGCCCTGCTGCTGATTTTAGACTAAGGCAATTTTAGACTAAGCTAATTACTTTTAAAGACTTCCTAACAAACTAGAGAACAATCCTGTGCTCAGAATGTCATTTTATTTGAGACCAGAAATGTTTCCATATTGTTTCCGTAGGATGAGTTGTAGAGTGAAGAGTAATTCTAGGTGTTTCCCCTAAATATAATAACACCACTTATACTCCTCACCAACTCTTCCATCCAGATGTCAATTAACAGGACAGCACACGCGTTGCACTACTTTCTGGAAAAACAGCAATAATCAGTAGATTGCAAGAACTGCTCTAAAGATCACCTAATAATAGACCAGCAGTAACATCACATGGCCAGAGGGAAGGAAGATACTACATACAGCATGATTTCCTTCTGTTTTGCACTCAGGAATTCTCTGCTAGAATAATTTTTAGTTTTAGTTTTTATTTGTCTGCGTGACTATCAAATATTACTCTCTGAAACTTAAACTTTTCTAATCTTCACAAATACATAATCAAATAAATATTTTGAAAGATGCTTTCAACCTAAATTAATTACTTTTATTATTGAACAAGTTTTTTGTTCGCCAAAATACAAATGTGTAATTGAAGCTTTTTTTTTTTTTTCCTTCTGGAATGCTTTTGCTTCTTCCCTATGCAAGAAACCATGTAATAGTTGAAAAACTGAACATGATTTAATCTAGTGCTTTTGAAAGTGGAAAATGTTGGCTACATCACAGAACACTGGAATATTTTAACTGTGGTTTTCTTTAAATTGACAAATGTCCTTGAATCCTGACCTACAATGCTCCAATTATTCCAACCTAAGAAACTTCTAAATCTGCATTTCTAGCTAATGACATTTGTTGGGGTAGGTGATCACTGTACTTGAATCAAGGTTATTTACACTATATTTACTAGCAGCGTATCTCCTCTGAAACTATTAGAATCATCACTGTTTATATAAATAATACTGAATAATAGTGAATGAATATTCATCTAATGCTGCTCGTAAGACAAAATTCATGTCCAGAATTTGAGAGCCAAAAGCCTAATTCCTCACTAATTGTACTGCCTAGGCCCAGTTTCACTCACACACATGTTTCCTATTCATTTAACTTTATGTTTACTGCATTTTATTAAGCATAGTTTTCCTGAAGAAAACACTGCTGGAGATAATTTTTTTTTCAGGACATTAAATCTTTACTATGATCAATATTATTCTGTGATACTACTGTGTAAATTTGACTTAACTGCTATAGACTTGTGGACAGTCATTTATTGCTGGCTATATAGAGAGAATTATTTTCCACATGTTTCTTTCTTTTTTGCCTTCTTTCTTCTTAAAATAATTTAATTCACATAAGATATCACCGAAAAAAAGAACAGTTGAGTTTCCTGAATGTTAACTGCCATTATGCTAGATGCAGAGCATTATGAAAATATGGTCTGACGGTTCTGTTCCTTACTTTATGCATTCATTTTACACTTTGAAGTTGCAGGAGGAAAGTACTGGTATTTCAGTAAGGATTTTTCCTAGTGACACAACACTGAAAGACAGCTGCTGCAAAAATAAATAAGAATGGGCCCAAGGAATTATATACGACTTTAACAGAATTCAGCTTTTTCTTGCATTTTTGCTCCAATGATTTTGCATTTGTCCTGCTCTTAAGACTGCTACATTCCAAAGTGTATTTTCTGAAAGAAAGTCTGAGTGATTAACATTCATATTACTTGTTTTTATAAATGTGAACTTACGTTCGAATGACAATCATAAAGCTGTAGCCAATAGTTCCAACACCAACAAGGAAATAGGAAAGAGGCATCCTGAACTTGAGCCATCCAATTGTCCTCTGGTTATTGTAATAACCATAAAAAAGCACAGAATACTGTGCAAAGCCCTGAAAATTCAACAAAAAGATGTAGCATCACACATCTGTTAGATATGCACATAATCAGAATCCTACCAGTATCAACATGATGAAGCGTTATTTTCAAGTGTGTTCAAAATGGCCATAAGCATCACGGTAATAAAGCTCACAGGAAGTAAGAAAACCATTTTTGTAATATTAAAAAGCATATTTAATGTAAATTTTCAAATATTTTACCTTTAGAACTTTTCACGGCAACTCTATCTACAATAAAAAAAAAAATTCATCTTCATATTTTGTTTTATAAATTACTTGCAACAGAAATGAAATATTTTTTGCTTCATTTCCACATTCTTGCATAACTTATTTGACATAAAATGCTCATGTAACTTCTTTGTCTACTAACACTCTTTTCTGTTCACTGGGTGATCATTTAATATGTTAGTTATATGTTATATAACTACATTTTTTTGGATGATTATTCACTATGTGAATTCACTACCCACTATTTTTAAAAACACTTAGACTCCAAGGCTATACAGTGTGAGGTAAGCATAAGTTTCTTTTCAGCAGTTAGGAGATTTTTTTTTTCCTAAAAGCAATGAGAATCCCCTTCTCTTCTACAGATCAGTTTGCTGATTTTTCAGAGTAATTTGTAGCACATGGTTAACTATAAACAATTGCTGGTGTCTAAAATGATCCAAATAAATGAGGCTTTCTGATAATCCTCAGGTTACAGCAGGAATCTCTTCCTAGAAGACTGTATGCAGAAACTTTCTGACAGCAGCTCACCATGGCTACAGCTCCAGCTGAATGCAATGAATTCAAGTCAAATACAGTGTTCTGTCAAAATGCAATTGGTGGACAGATCGTTTTGACACTGATTCAGTAATCTGAGGTTTCTGTTAGTTGAAGGAGCCATTTACTTCCCTTCTGGTATTCAGTATCTCATACTATTTAAAAGACATCTCTCCCTAAAAGTGTAACATGCACTTTGTCTATAGTAGCTCTTGCTACAAATGAAATGAATCATGGTATAAACTAAAAGAAAATAGATTTAGCAATTATTAGCTGAAAATGAAGTATATGCCATAAATAATTATTAAATAAATAAATTATATAAAATAAATAAAAAAATACTCATAACTTACTTAGTAACACTCCATAACTGCTACCAAATAAAAGACTGCTTAATTGAAGATATCACTGTCTTCAGGCAGCATTTTTCAATCTGACATTCCTCGAGAAAATTCTTTTTTACCCTAAGTATTTGAGAGGATTCGTTCCTTTCACTGCCTTATTCAATTTTAATTTCCATTGCACTTGCTCCTTCTGTTAACTGCTGCTTTTATTTACTAAACTTTCTACGTAGCTGTCAAATCCTATTTCTCTCTGCTCTTATAACTTCCTCCTCCTTCTACCATCTGTCTACATTCATCATGTCTCAGCTCTATTTATTTTTAAAACTTTATTCCTATTTGCTGCATAAGCCTCTTTTAGTCTGTATTCTCTGTATAAAGGTTTCAACTCACTACACAATTCATATTTCTCCAATAGCTCCCTGACATTTTAATATCTGTTTAAAATGTCATCATTATCTAAATTCCCAGCTACATGTCTAGACATATTCTTCCTGTCATTCAAGTATGTAACTCCTGATGAACTAAACATAATGTCACCTTATGCAGTAGTCATTGGAAAATATTATACAGATGTTTTCTTAGAAAAGTAATGTTCACTTCTATCTGTATCTATACAAAGAGGGACCATAAAATGTGGAATTAGTAAAGCAGAAGTCATGTGATCACTTAATATATATTTAAATCAAAAGAGAGTCAATCAATGTATTTTCTACATATTATTACATTAGTTTAACATACAGTGTTTTGCAATTAACAAGCCTGAAAGACTTTGCTCATAAATGAGAAAATGTGTTTATCAAGTTAAGTATTTTCCTGTGTTTAGTGGTCTTATTACCAGATTCTTCTTGCACTGTTGGCTGAATATTTAAAATAAAGCCAAAAAAGAGCCAAAATGTGAAGGCATTTTAGGCACTACATAAGACTACTGAGCTACAAAGAACCCTGAGATCTAGACGTTAGAAGATTAAGGATCTCTATACACCTGAACCAGAGTAAAAAATGGTAAGATTAAGGAGAGGCATTATCATTCTACATTTCTATGTCTTTTTTAGGGAAGATCAGAGATGGTTTAATGCTGGATAAATCCAAAATTTTCCTGTGCCCTGATGAAAATGCTCATTCAGAGCTTAGCTTCCAGCACTGTTCCATGCCACCAGCACAGGTGGGACAGGATCTCAAAGACACCAAAACCACACAGAGAGGCTGTTTCTAAACATAAGTCAGTATGCTAATAATTGGATGCACTGAGCTGTAAGTTGGAGGAATTTGCACTTATTTCCCTAAGAAATTAGTTTGGTTGCAACAATCATATTTGCGTTTTCTATTGCTGCTAAAACTAAAGTGCTAGAAGATACATCTTTATAGTATTGGTGCTCCTTAGAGAAAAGGAGTGCAGCAGATTGAGGTCGATTACTCACTCTTATCTCAATAGATGCTGCTTCCATCAATATGAAGGAAAATCTTAACTAGACTCACACCATTTCACAGGTGAAAAGTACCTTTCATTGACCACTGTCTATAAAGAACTCTAACAACCCTCTAACTAATGTGCTGCAATACAAAATTTATGATCAGCCGACTTTATACCAAGTTGGATCATCTTTATACAAAGAGGAGAACTGCAGAGACACATCATATGCAAAATTAGACTAGCTGTTTTCGGGATGAAAAAGGAGAATGACACCTTTCAGAATAAACTGCTAAATACAGATGATCAATTTCATCCTTAATAGACCCTCAGTATATAGAGATGTAGATCCAATACAGAAAATTTTTCCAGTGAGTCTTTGTATTGTTTAAAATACTGAAATGTCTGAGATTTGTCATAAATTTTACCTCTGTGAAAAATTTATGCTCAGAATTTGGGTAAAAAATGAAATAAATTACTTGTACTTCAATTTTCTCCTGAAATATTCCACATTAAATCTTTGAATATTAAATAATGAATCCAAAAAAGTCATGTGAATATGCATCATTGTAAGATTATGCACTTACACTAAAATCCCAAAGAGTAGCAAAGTTCATAGCCGTTGCTTCTTCAGCTCTTGGAACAGTTTTTCTAGGTAAAGAGCCATATGGCTTTCCCATCAAAGCCTAGAAACAAGAAATGATAGCAATTTACATTTTAAAGCAAAATACCAACAAAGGGAAGGGATAGTGATCTGTCAGTTCTTAGCAAGACTCTCCTTGTGCTCCTTAGCGCCTTAATGAGAATGACCTACTTCCCCACCTTCTCACATTAATATTTGAAACTATTCCTAAAGTATGCATCAACGATATTTTCTACATTTAAAGTGACATTTCACAAGCATGAATGTGTTACCAAGATATGTCACAGTCAAATGCAATAAAGTTCAAATTCAAAGCAGAGCTTGTTTTAAAGACAAGACCAAAAGATTAGTTTTTCTTGTAAAATGGGATTTCATTGGTTACTTAATTGAAATACGTGGGAAGATGCAAGGGATACCATTTTTGGATTCTGAGTCCCAGTGTTCTGGCAAGATGCCATGAGTATACATACTCATGGGGTACTTTCCAGATAACTCTCTAAAGACAGCCTTCTACGAAGAAAGTATGCCTTTATAACTTTGGTACATCTTAATAGTTTTTAATGGCACATAAAGAGATTACAAAATTATTTGAAGGTCAGGTCCTATGAAATGTCACAGCAAAGACAGAAATTCACACACCAATCTTCAATGAAAATTTTTAAAAAATCACACCTCAGGAATCATTACAAGTCCAAACGTCAGCCCAAAGAGAATCATGTTTATTCCATACATCCAGCGTAAGAATATGAAATAAGATGCTACCGATGAGCCAAAGTGACCTATGAAAATGTAAGATGTGAAAAAAGGGAATATCAGTTAGTCTCTATATGATCCTTTTCCTTAAGATGAAGGACTTATCTTTCCAGAGAAAGAAATCCCTCTCTTCACAATCACAGCTTATTCATGTCATTGCTTTTTGGCAGTACACACATTTATGAAAAAAATATTTTTGTGGAGGAAGCACAGGATGAGAAAAATTGCATTTAAAACCTCCAGTGAAAACCTTAAGAGTTCACTAAGAATTGCAGTCACTTCCATTGAACCAGACTGATGTGCTAGTTTCACAAAAACAAGGTCAAATATCCCACTACTTTTATGGTTTTGTTCCTCTCTCTGTGTTTTAATAAAAGTATATTTTAAAAGTTAGGTTTTGTACATACATTATGTGGCCCAGGCAAGCCATAAGGTTGGACTCACATGGTCTAGAGCTCTGCCTGTTTCATGAGTTCTTTTGGGCCAGTCTTAATATCCTCATTCTTTTGGGAATGATTTCAGGAAGCAGAAAGCAACATGGAACATGGTGAGAACAAGGTCCTTATTCACTACAGTGGACAGCATAAAACTAAGCAGAGTTTAAAATGAAGTTTTATTTTCTAGGGCTTATAAACTGCAATTATCTTTTTCTTCCTCTTCCTTACTCTGTTTCCTTATTACTTCATTTCTTAATACTAAATGATGGTGGTGATTATCACAGAAAGGACAACTCTTTCAAGATTTTTTGTGTGTGAACAGTAGTGGTCCACCTATTGCTTGTCCACAGGACGAGAAGAAAAGTCTCTATAATTTTTAAATGTGTGGTTAATGCCAGTCGGCATTCAAAATATGAGTGCTGATCTGAAAGTAATGCCTCCTATTTTATTATGCTGGCCCACAATGTCAGAGACAAACAATTGTGGTATGGAAGTAGAGGTTGAACCAGGGGAGGTTCAGGTTGCATATTAGGAAAAATTTCTTCTCCAGAACAGTGATCAAGTGCTGGAATGGGCTGCTTAGGGAAGTGGTTAAGTCACCGTCCCTGGAGGTGTTCAAGAAATGTTCTTTCTACTAAAGGACATGGTTTAATGAGAAAATATTGGTGGTAGGTTGACAGTTGGATGATCTTGGAAATCTTTTCCAACTTTGCTAATTCTGTGATTCTATGATTCCATGATTTCCATCAATACCCTGTTACTTTTTGTTGCCATGAGACAGACGGCAACAGAAGGGCACTCTGACAAAACAGTGTCTGACATGGAAGTGAGCATGAAGCAAAGGTTTGTCATTGAATGATGCCCACTGACATTCGCTGATGCTTGATGGACATTTATGGAGACCAAATAGTGGATGTGAGCATGGTGAGGCAGTGGGTGGTACGTTTCAGCAGTAGTGACAATGATGTGTAAGGCAAGCCACAGTCTAGATGACCATGCACAGATGTCACACCACAAAATGAAAAGTGTCTCAGTAAGTTAATCCACGCAAATCAGCAGAGTAAGACCAGGGAACTGTATGGAATTGAATATCACCTTCAATGTGTTGAAAACGACTGTGGCAATGTTGGTACATCAGGTGGGTCCTACAGATCAGGGTCTTGTTCTCAAACAAGAACAGAAATAACATTTTATGGAAGTCAATCAGGGCCTATATATGAGTGCAGCATGCAGACTCCTGTTCATCACAGGAGAACAAGTGTAGTTAATGTTGGTGGCTACATTGAAAAACAGTGTTCTGTTATTGTGCTCCTTGTATCTCTTATAGGAGGCTTTACTTTCAGAGCAATCATTATATTCCTGCATTAATTCTAATCTATAAAGCAAAGACTGATTTGAGACAAGTCATACTTTCTTATTCAGCTGCAAGTTTTTAGAAGGACTGAAGAATATGAATGAGTGTTTCCCAGTGGTAAGAATATTCTACTTTCTGCCAACTGTTAACAGTTACTGCCTCACCTGCTTGGAATTCTTTTATAAACAACTCATTTTGAGACCAGAAAATGAAAATTGTCTTCATGTAATAGCACAGAAATGACTTATGCTTAAAAATAACTAGTTAGAAGCTAACAGCTAAGGAGGTTTGCTGAGTATTAACTGCTCCCTCACATGAATGTATTCAGACAGATAAGGAAGTTTCCTAAAAAGAGCATTCTGCATGTAGATGACAGGCTTTTATTTCATTCATGAGCTTTCTACTTACATTTTCTATTAGTTAGGATCAACACTCAGAAACAGAGTTTGAAGTTTCATAAATTTTAACTCTTTTAGGTGCTGCTGACATCACCTACTGCATTTTGTTGGTATTTATACCTCTGTGCTTAATGGCCACTTTTGAGTTCAAAGAAAATAGCTCCTAGCATAATATTAGCACTTACCCTGGAGGATTACTTTAAAATTTTACCTCTGGTTTCTTTGGAATAAGAAGCTGTTTGTCTATTTATAATCCCTTGTTCCTTCTGTTGGATAGAGCAGATGCTACTTAGAAACATTCATTTTCATGTATGTTTATCTAGTGAATAAAATATACCAGATACTCTTCTGATGGTAAAAAATTATCACAAAATAAATTTTAGTGTGAACTTGCACTACTGTGTAGTAATATGGAAAGCAGTTGTACAGACACAGTTCTGAAGCAGTGAACTGTGCCGATGCATTTTGTATGCATTTTATATAGTGCATCAGGTTTCTAAGACTGGTCCAAACTGTCTATTTTGCCTGTCACAATCTGACATTTTGCTGCATATTTTACTGTACTGCCTCCTTCAGAAATGAGCAGTTGAGTAGACGGTGGTTGACTTCTTCAATGCAACTACATTTTGCCACAAAACTACAACCCATTGGAGCTGATGTGGCTGAGAACTCACAGGCACAGCGGTGCCTAATGATGATATCTGTATGCTAAGCATTGATTCTGGAGTACAATCCTAGTGTTTGACCGCTTTCTTTCACCTCTCCTCATTCTTTTGTGCATTCAGAGGGATCCAGTGTTTAAGTGCAAGGTAACTTCTGCCAACAGGATTCTCTGAATTCTTCAATGTGTTTCCTTTAGCAAGACCTGTTATGTACTTAAGTCACTAATATTACTGTTGTTTCACAAGTAATTAAAGTTAGCCTGGAAAGAGAAAGCCACTGGCACTGTGACATAGGAGTCAAAGGGCAACAAGGTCTTTGTTCAGTTTGAAGCCATCTAGAAGCACATTTCCCCCTGCAAAGTTGCTTCTGCTGTGTCTTTAACACAATTGCACTGCTGCAGACAGCAACAATTAAGAAAATTTAATTTCGTGGAGTTCACACATACCAGCTTGAAGCTGTGTGGAATATATTCTGTATTTGATTTCTAATTAAATCTGGAGGTTTTGACCAGAGTTTGATAATAAAATAAGGGTTTTTAAAAGTGATCTCATACTATCTGCTAATCCGAAATTTAGACTAAGCTAATTCTTGATTCAGCATGATGGGAACTAGCAGTAGAATTATCAGAATCAAGCAAACGGTGATTTAAAACTATTTTAACTATTTTCTTATTAAATATATCAGACTTGTACCCTTGAGCCTTTTTCCAGGCTACATAGTTTTGGATCCAAATGTAGTATAATTGTACTTCTTCAATTACTAATATTCAGACAGAGGATTGTTTCTGAAAGTAAAAGCAAGTTGCTTTGACAATGAGATAAATGAATTTAAAAAAAAAAAAAATAGTAACAGAAAAAAAGTAAACTTTACAATCTTACCTCCTGAAATTATGAAAAAGTATTATCCTACCATGATTTTGAGAGCTTCCAGATGACAGCAAAAATTCTACTCATTGCAAATGAAAACAGTATATTGATACAAGAGCAAGAATGGAGAGATCACCCCTTTCTACTTTTGTATTCATCGTTTATAAGGAAAGAGAAATGCAAAAAGCATTATTAGCAGAAGAGCTTGTATCAGGACTCCTTTATGGAAAGTAGTAGAAACACTGTTCACACAAAACCTCAAAATGTCTATTACATGCCCAGATCAGTAAATTACTATGTGTACCTTGCTGCTGAGTTTGATTTTTACTATAGCAGCTTCTTCTAAACTTCACTCAAATTGAATATGTAATCTATTCACTAGTCTGTACACTAGATGTTAAGGACATTATGAAAGTTCTCAAGAATTATTTTGCTGTCCAAAACTCCACAAAATTCACAATTTCTCATTCCCTATTCTTCTGCTGTTCTGGCAATTACTTTTAGATGCAACTCAGAGTTCCTTCAAAAGGCAGCTTCTCTAAAGTCAGGCACTATTGCAAATTCTCAGCTCTATTTCATCTGCAGCAGGTCCTCACTCAGGTACTCATGAAGTCAGATTTCCTTCACAGAAAGGAATACAGTTTAAATTCATCGCTGGAACTCTCAAACATAACAGAAGTACTAATCATACTGATTTATTTATATTTATGGCTAATACATAGTGATGTCCAAGACCACTAGTTTTCGATCTTTATAGATAACTTTGCAACACTTCTTAAATAAATCTAAAGATTATAAAAAAACATCATAGAAATAATTATGATATACAGACAAAATAAAGTGGAGGCAGACAACAACTAAATCCCAATATCTCTTCTCCAAGTTTAACTTTGATACTGGGTCTTATTAGCTGTAAGGTGCCTAACATTCTCTCAAGGATATTTTGAACAGGTTAAAAATCAAATTTAATAATTATTAATGAAAGAAGAAATATTCATGTACCTGTATGTATACCTGTATGTATGAACAAGAAGGTATTTCTAAAGTACTGTAAAGTAATTTAGAATTTTGGCATGCATTAGAGATACGATACTAGATAGTACTTTTCATTAGCATTCACAAATACTTACTTTCAATCTCTTTAATTTTCATCTCCCAAGGTATGCAGGCTGTCTTAAAATTCTCAAAATCTCTTTGGAATTTCATCCATTTCTGAAACGTTCATAGAGTTTAAAAAAATCATTTCTGATACCTGATGTTCAATTTCCCCTTGAGCTAACTAATATAACCCCTTAGTCATACATACAATTCTTTGGCAGAACACACTGCAGCAGAAGCACTAGCTTATGAAAAGTCATCTCTTTTTTTTTGTTCTGAATATGTCTCCCACTGCCTTTATGTAAAGTTCCTATTTCTTCAGCAAAAAAATGATTAAATAATCCCTTCCTTTCATGACATTCAGTTTTTGGAATTGTTTCTAAGAATTTAATTTGTTCTTTCCTTTGCTATACATAATTCAGATTTGGAGCTCAAGCTGTGTCATTTAATTGCAATTACTCTACTCACTACTTTATCTATTGGATAAGTGGAACTTCTATAATTGAGCTTCTTGTGCACAGCTGAGTTTTAAAACCTAATCCCTTTAATATTAATGTTAATGTTAATAAGATGTGACTACACAGCTGCCCGCACAAAAGCCAATCTACCTAAGGGTAAACCTGGATAGATAAGTAGTCCTGCCAAACATTTGTAGTATCATTCCACAACAGCATTTTATTTTGAGCAGGAGTGTACTTTAGAAGTGAATCTCCCAAACCAGCCAATTTACCTGATTCGCTTTAAAGATCTATCAAAGTATAAAACTCATATAAAAAATATACTTTAGAAGCGTACTAATCCATATCCACTGCTACTGTGTATTTAGTTCATGGAACCACACAGGACTTGGATCAAAGTAAAACTGACCAGAACACATATAATGTGGACATGGAGTCCTCAGCAATGATTTTTCAAGCTCTCAATCACCCTCCTACAGTGTCACATAGCTTCCTAGAAAATATCCGAGATATTGTTTATGTTTTTACTCAATGGAGGTGCCTCTGGTATTTTTACAGCAGGCAAAAAGGCACTTTCTGATTCTCAGGATCAAGGGAAAGACTAGGCTTAAGATCCAGACTATAGAGAAACATCTACACCAACAGAAATTTTTTTCAAGAGATGTGTCCAGATATGAGTCTTTATAACTCTAGCAAAACAGTTAATTTTTCTATTGATAGAGTCTCAAACACCTGATAAGCAGATCATAAGTCCCAATCAAACTGTGAGCTTAATTAGAAATTGTTCCATGTGCAAGCAGAGGAAACAAAAGCATAAAAAACCAGATAAAGACAAGAAAATTTGTTTTGAAAAATGAGTACATATAGCAGTCCAAGGCTCCACTTTTCTGTTACATGAAGTTAGTGAAGTAATATACTTACCTTGGTCATCATCACTTTGTAAGCATAGAACTTTTTTCCCTTTCCTTTTCCAAGAGCACCTTCAAATTTTTCAACAAAAAGCTGTGCTTCTCTGGAAAATAAGGTAAAAAGAGAGGTATCGATGATTATGTTCTTTTGTTTCAGTACTTCCCAAGATTATGCAGACTACTGAATTCAGCTTTCACTCTTTGAGTCCCATCTGAGCACTCTCTTTCCAAATGCTCACACCTAAATCCAGCTAAGGTATCAGGACTAGTGCCAATTTTCCTGATATCCTCAGGATTACAGCAGGCTTTTTCCTACCAATTTTCCGTTTTGTTGTTGTTGTTGTTGTTTTTCCTTCAAAGATTTGGGTTGGTAGAAGGAAAAACTGTTATACATTTAGACATGAATCGCAAGACAGCAACTTTTCCTCCCTACCCACCCTTTTTTTTCCCTGTGGCAAAACGCACAGACAGACTCAGAGAAAAAAAAAAACTAAAATAGCCAACCACCACCTCAGATACACAGCCACACATACCATCTCTTCACCACTTCAAAGTGTTCTTCAGGATCCTTTTAAGACTCCAGAGATCTCTTACTCTGTGCTGCTGGATCTTGGCATCTGATTTTTTTTTTTTTTTTTTTACTTTAGCTGATTCTGACATCAAATTGAGCCCTTTGCATTTTTCAAATCACCCAAGTTCTTCTCAGGTATTCTGGCTCACATCTCATTCTTTCCTTTTGACTCTCAAAAGACTTGTGTCCTTACTACTACTACTTATCTCAAATAAGTGTGAGAAAACAGGTTCTTCCTCTTCAGGAAAAATGGCCAAGAGTCCCATTTAAACACACGTTCAGGATTTAAAATCTTATTGTACCATCTGGAGAGATATAAGGCACTGTTAACAGCAGGTGGCAGCGTCTTCACAAAGCTGCACTTGCAGAATCAATTTGGACACATACCTACCGATCCCCTAAGTCACCATATCATATTTCTCACTTAAGAGTAATACCTTTTACCATCACTTCTCAAATAATCAAAACAGTGGTCTATTTCAAGAAAAACTGCTGAAATTGAAGCCTACAGATCTGTAGAAAGCCTATGCTTTAAGTCAAAAACTACATAGAGTTATAATGCAGAACAAAAAGATTTCAAAATATAGGTATTGGGGAGCATTTCATTCATTTGTTTTGTGTTGTTGTTGTAATTCGTCTTTTTAATGAAGCATTAAATTAGAAATTTAAAGGGGAAAACAACCAGTAACACTTTAAAAATCCTCCGTATTGGACAGTTTGCATCTGTAGCTGAAAAAGGTACTGAACAACAAAAAAAAATCTACAATGAAATTAAGACAGAAAAAGAATGAATTTTATGCAATGTAAATCATAGAAAGACTTACTTTAATCTCAATCAAAGCCTTCTGTTTTCTTGTTTGATATGTCTTATTGAAATTTTTCTTTAAAATTAAAAAAAAAAAAAAATTATGTCTCTCTGCTCCCTGGACTCTCTATCGAGCAACTTTTCAAGAGTTTTAGTACTATTTAAGCTTTTACTCCATTTCTGACTTTCTACAACAAATGAAAACTAATTTTTGACGCGATGATCCAAATCTCAAGGACTGACGTTGCCTGACGTCCCTGAGCATATCCTTTGTTTTCACTTTGCTGGTGGCTGAGATTTTTCTGTCTTCTCTAACACTGTCCTATGCCCATTTGAACCTGATGAGGTTCAACAAGGCCATGTGGAAGGTGCTGCACTTGGGCTGGGGTAATCCCAGGTGCTTATACAGACTGGGTGAAGAACCACTTGAGAGCAGCCCAGCAGAGAAGGACTTGGGGGTCCTGGTGGAAGAGAAGCTGGACATGAGCCAGCAGAGTGCCCTTGCAGCCTGGAAGGCCAACTGTGTTCTGAGCTGCATTAAAAGAAAGGTTGCCAGAAGGGAGAGGGAGGTGATTGTCCCCCTCTACTCAGCTCTTGTGAGGCCCCATCTGGAGTACTGCATCGAAACCTGGGGCCTCCAGCATAGGAAAGACACAGAGCTCTTGGAGCAGGTCCAGAGGAGGGCCACTAAGGTGATCAGAGGGCTGCAGCACTTCTATGAGCAAATGTTGAGGGAACTGGTCTTGCTTAGCTGGGAGAAGAGAAGGCTCCCCAGAGACCTCATTGTGGCCTTCCAGTTCTTGAGGGAATGTATAAACAGGAAGGGGAACAGCAGTTTACAAGGGTGGATAGTGATAGGGCAAGGGGAAATGGCTTTAAACTGAGATAGGGGAGGTTTATGTTAGATATTAGAAGGAGGTTTTTCACGCAGAGGGTGGTTAATCACTGGAACAGGTTGCCCAAGGAGGTTGTGGATGCTTCATCCCTGGAGGCATATGAGGCCAAGCTGGATGTGGCTCTGGGCATTCTGGTCTACTGGCTGGCGACCCTGCACATAGCAGGAGGGTTGAAAGTCAATGATCTTTGAGGCCCTTTTCAACCCAGGCCATTCTATAATTCTATGAAAGATGATTGAAATAACTTTTTCTGCATGTCATCTCCAAGCAATTGGAAGAGAAGATGGTTATCAGGAGTAATCAATATGGATCCACCAAGGAAAAATCATGCTTAACCAACCTAGTAGCTTCTGTGATGTCATCACTGGCTGGGTAGATGGAGGGAAAGCAGTGGATGATATGTTCCTTGATGTTTGTTTTTTAAATACAAGACATTTAACAACGTTTCCCACAGCATCGTTCTATAATGAAGTGTGAGACAGATGAGGTGGGCTAAGAACTAGCTGACTGGCAGAGCTCAGAGGGTTGGCATCAGCAGTGCAGAGTCCGGTTGAAGGCCTGTAACCAGTGCTCCTCAGGGGAACACCTGGAACTCTTCAGCCTGGGGAAGTTTGAGGGGCATCTTACCACTTTTTATAAATATCTGAAGTGCAGGAGTCAAGTGGGTGGGGCCAGGCTCTTTTCAGTTGTGTGCAAAGACAGAACAAGGGGCAATAGTAACAAACCGAAACACAGGAAGTTCCATAAAACACATGAAAAAATGTATTTACTGTTGGACTAGCAGAATGCCAGAACAAGTTGCCAAGATAGGTGGCAGAGTCTCATTCTGTGGTGATACTCAAGACCCATCTGGATGCCTACCGAGCTGCCTGCTGAAGGGAACCTGCTTTAAAAGGGGGTTGGACTTAATGACCTCTGGAGATACTTCCCAAACCCTTCTGTGATTCTGTCATTATGCAATTGAAATAAATGAAATTATTCTGTAAAAATCTTGGAAAGTTCAGCAACAACACGACAACATTCAGTCAGGGAACACACTTTCACTGTATTTTTCAAATCTCTGCTACATGTTCTTTTTTGTTAAGTATAAACCAATATGTTATTTAATTCAGCTTTCTACCTTGATATTTAATCCTCCTCACTTAAAAGGCCTCCATTTATACATCCTAGTAGACTTTTGCCACACTTTGTCATTTTCTCTTTTTCTTTTATTCTAAAAGTAGAATGTGAAGAAACATGGAATAATCAAGCAGTATAAATTAGTCTGAAACCCATAGAATTCTTTTAGAAACCCCAACAATTACCAAAACCACACACATACACATGCACACCCCCTTGGAAGTAGTGCAACTTTACTAACATGAGGACGTGTCAAAAGCAACACAGGGCAACAAAACTGAGCTTTGTAATCGCTGGTATCATGTGTTATAGGTAAATTATCTATATCACGAGATAGGCCAAAGTGTGCCCTGTTAGCTAACTGTGAATTTAAAGAAGCTTCAGAGTAACCTTATTAATTGAATTACAGACACAAGGAACTTATAAATGTTGCATAGAGTCCAGCATTATTGTCCCAGAGAAGCCTGAGCTAATTATTAATAAGAGGTGTGGAGTTACAGCTCCCAAAGTGCTAGGTGTACGGTACTTCGAGCACTTCAGTGTTGCAAAGAGAGGATAAATTACAGCACTCAGAGGTTGCTGCTAATGAACAGGATTCAAGCAGATTGCTCACATTTTTCAGTAACAGTTCAGGAAGGTCTAAAAACTCATTAAAAACAAATGTTGTATAAATATTGATCACCCAGGACTTTTCCAAGTCTAAAAAGACTGGCTTAAAACTGAATGTCAAACAGCTGTTGCTGGGTCCATCTCACTTGAAAGCAGTTCAGCAGTAATAATGAGCAAATTATAGTGTTATTCAATACCCAGCTGGCCTTCAGGACAGCCAGGCTGTCCTCCAAGACTGCCAATATGTCCATAGTAAGGCACATGAAATACAGATTCATTGGACTGCAAATAGCACATCCAAAGTTACATATAGTGCAACTTTATTTATAAGTTTGTATATGTAGATACACATATATAAGGAGGTGCATGTATATACATATATATATCCTTGGGTTTTCTATGCTTAAAAAAATATTATATTTTCACTTGATCTGTGTTGATGTGTTCTGTGATGAAATAAATGACGCTTTAAAAAGAAAGAAAGAAAGAAAGAAAGAAAGAAAGAAAGAAAGAAAGAAAGAAAGAAAGAAAGAAAGAAAGAGAGAGAGAGAGAAAAAGGAAGGAAGGAAGGAAGGAAGGAAGGAAGGAAGGAAGGAAGGAAGGAAGGAAGGAAGGAAGGAAAAGTATAACCTGTCCCCAGCATATAAAAATAAGAATGCTTTTCTCCTTGGATTATTTTAAAAAACTAAGTTCTCATAGTTCTCTGTATAATCTGTATTTAACTGGAATTTCTTTGAGAGGCCAAAACCTTTCAAAAGCCAGTTGTAATTTTTCTTGTTTTGATAATTGTTACAGTTCAAAACTGGAGTCACTGATGGAACATTTCTGGATTCTTGTGTATAATCCTCTGTCTATATTATAAGCATCTCAATAAACTTCTATACATAAACTGCATAGCTATTAATAATGTTTACTATTTTACAGCACAAACATTTGTCTATACAAAGTGCAATGTGCTCTAATGAGGGGAGTACTCCAGACCCTAACACAGCAGCTCAGCTTTTGAACCTTCCCTTTCCTTCATACTCATGCAAAACCCAACAGGGAGAATGCACAGATAGATGATTAAGTTCCCAAAATCAAACCCTCAGCTGTAAATTGGGATAGCCTTCCATGGAGTTCTTACTCCTTGCAATGCTAGAAGCTATGGCCCATTGGTTTTATCTTTTGTATCTTTTTCTAATTCAAAAATCTTTCTAATAGTTTAACACCCTCTGTCAAAATCTCAGCATCATAAATAACAGCTGATGGTTGTTATAATCTAATGGCTCTTATAATCTATAATCTTATAATGTAATAGCTCCAGCTACATGAAGGCTGTCAACAGCAAGGACTACTACATCATCTGCTCACAGCCATGCCTACTAATTAGGTGAGAGAAGCAATGCTATTTGCCACATAGCATCCTTTCATTCCTCTCCATGTCTTCTCTCCCTTTTTCTCATCATCAGACTTACTGAGACCTAAACATGATATCTGAAGATCCAGCGAGGGTCAGAATGTGCTGGTACAGCTCAACTCCAAACACCAGAGGGACACTCTGCTATAGAGGAATATCATCAGTCACATTTCTTCAGAGAACAGGCAGAGGCTGTTGAAATTCATCTTTCAAGGCTCAAGGATAAAAATTAGAAATTAGAGCTAGTCTAATTGTGTACTGCATCCCAATTAAGAATGCTATTTCAAAAGTGAGTGTAACAGTCAGGTTTTGACTGAAGGCAACAAAGCAACCAGTTTTGCTTCTATGTTCTAAAATTAATTCCCTAATCACACAATTCTAGAAAAAAGAGTGAATTAATGTAGCCTTCATGTGTGTCACCCTTATGGAAAACACTGAACATTTAATTCCAATGCTTATTTCTTTAAAAAAAAAAAGTAATAACATTTTTTTTACATTTGAAAAATAAGCTGGGTTTGAACCAGAAAAGTGAGCAAGTTGTTCAGTCTTGGAAATACTTAAGAAAAATGTTTCAACAATTTTTATTTTTTTATCACTTTTTAAAAGCAGGCGAATTAGTAGAAATTGAATAATTCCTCAAAAAAGTTTTTTTTTTTTTTTCAAATTAACTTTTCTTAAATATATACATAGATAAAGAACAAAAATTCATACATAACCTTCATAATTCTCTTTCAAAATACTCTGAAAAGTATTTTCTTGTTTTATATTGTCATAAATATCATTCCAAGCAAGCACGGTTTTTCATTCTTTGAAAACAACAGCTACTAAAAAAATGCAATCAGGAAGTATTGTTTGGCTGACAACAAGCACTTTTCCTTTAATGTTGAGAAGAAACCTGAGTTTCTTTACTGTGGAAACTGAAAGACAAAGAATCAGGAATTCTGTTCTTCTAGCATTAAGTAGATAGGACATTTTTTTTCTGTGCATCCCATAGTACTCAAAAATCTACATAGGGAAAGAACAAGATGACAGTCCCAGGTGCTAGCTTTTCTTTATATTTCTTTTCCAAAAGTTTGTATTGATAGTATAGGAGTATACAAAACTCACTTAAGGTACTTAGAGTCAGTTTTTGTCCATTTTCCATATATATAAGAACAATGTCAATATATCAGGCTATTGATTATGAGACTACAAATCTGAAACAAATATATCAGTATACTAAAATATGTTAATACGTGTGCTCATAATTAATAAGATAATACGAGTAGACTAAAAGAAGCTAATCTGAAGAACTGACATTTTCTCTTAGAAAGCATTCTCTTCTAGGGCAAATAAAGTAAAGTGCCAATAGTTTGTAAGCCTACTCCAAAGAGGGCTATAGCAAAATCCAGAAGAATAAAAATATTGTTTTACAGCTCCTGTAGAAGTTTGTTGAAGAATAATTTTTACTAAAATAATCCCTCTGATGGTGACAAATAAAACTAAATGCGGGCCTTGTCTCCCAGTCTAGATTTCATGAATATAATAGTATAAAAGTTGATTAAACTGGTTGACATTTGGATAGAATTACTGCCCATGTTAAATGTACAAAGCCAAATTCACACTGAATATTAATAAAGAAATAATTCTCATTACTTGGGCAGATAACAAGAATAAGATTTTGAAAACATGTTATTGGTGTAACTGGGAAAGTCCACCTCATAATACTCAAAAGCTATGCCATTTTTCAGTTACTGAGGATGACTAGAAGTACTCGTCCAACTACAAACATTTCATAGTAAGGTAGATTTTTAATGTAGGAAAGGACTAATATCCCGTCTCCCTCTGAGCTGGGAATGACATAGGCTGCAGAAGTTCACAAATAGATAGCAGCTATTCTAAAACATAAAACACACAAAAATGTTTAAGACTTCTGTCTCTAGTTAGTCACTATTTACTCTCACCGTAAGTACATTTACTAGTTATCTTCTGTTTTTATGTCATATAAACAAACAGAGAGAACCAGCTGATGGCACTGCTGGAATAGGATAACTATAAAAACATAGGCCCTCTACATTGGCACAATAAAATTCTAAGATTTTAATTTTATACACGTTGGTTCTTTACTTACAGACTATGCAAAATATAGTAACTGCTGTCTGATTATATAATCTGGTCACCTAATTCTCCTGAAATTTCCCTGACTTTCAGAATACTTCCACTTTACATCTCCTAGGTACTCAATTCTCTTTTGCTTTGTCCCATGTATTCTTTTTTCACAACATGCCTTCATTATGTTCATTTGTAAACGTTTCCTCCCCAGAATAATTTTACTTTACAAAAAGAAAAAGTCATAGACCTTCCACAACACTTTTCATATGCTCTTTCATTCCATTCATGTTTTCTCACCATATCAAAAACCGTCTGGAGGAGAGTATTCTGTTATTCTGTTACTTGTGCCTAATTCAACACAACCATACATTTTGCTAATGTTTGGACAGTACTGCAGTGAATGAGTTATTGAAAACAGAGTACAGCAGCTTTGGCAAGAGAATAAAGTTCGATTTGTTAGCCCAGTTTCTAGTGATTGGTGAAAATATAACTGATAATTTAACTGAAATTTAACTGACATTTTTGCACTAATGAAAATGTAATGATAGACTTGCTGGCAAACTTATAAGTGGCAAACTTGAAAATGCGTGAGAAATCAAGCTCAATTTTCATTCATGTTTCCTTTTCTGTAACTCCAAAAAAATCTATTCTTCTCTAGAGAAAGTTAGAATAAAAAGAAAATTCTTCTCTCCTCACTACAATTACCCTGTGTTACTTCTTAAGTTGCATCATTTTTCCTTAAGAAGAGGTTAAACTTATCATTTGAAGCAATTGCCAACATAAATTTAGCAAACATAGAGAACAAAAGATAATAGAGGTTTCAAGGTTAATTGTGTCTGTAGGTCTAGAAATAAAGTGAAACTTCAGAAAAATACAACACAGTACATAGAAGGATGACAGATAGATATTATGAAATTCAAACCATACTTTAGAACTGACAACTTCTTTTTCATCTTCCACGGCTTGTTTCGTAACGTGGCAATTAGCTTCTTTTTTTCTTCTACCTCTTCTTTCAGCTTGGCCAATTCCTCCTCAGTAATCGGCTCCTCTTCAGAGTCAGAACCAGAGCTTCAGACAAAAATGGGAATAAAAAACATCACCAAAAATTAGGAAGGACATAAGTTTTCATGGAGCACATACATGGTATAAATTCATCAAAATTCTGAGACCTAGAACAATGCCTTCTCTGTTGCACTGAAGGGAAAATAGACTCACTGTTAATTTTAGTATCAACACAAAGGCTGCACTGTGCTTCACCAGCATTACACCACAAGCAGTCACACTACAGATGAAAAGCAGCAGTCATTCTGGGATGCATCCTGCAGGAGTAACCAGCCCTCTGGGTCCAATCCAACTCTGCAAATGAGGACTATAGCTGGAGCCATAAAAAATGAACTTCCTCACCATACTTCTGTGTGCCTCAGAAGAGAGGAGACAGGTTTAAACACCAGTTGACAGTCCATCACCTAATCAAAGCAGTAATTTTTCAGAGATGGGAAAGATTCAGAAAACCACATGGGTCTGCTTTTCTGTGAGCAATCTAATCACATGCAGTGGCATACAGCACATCTCTAGCAACAAATGTGACTTCTTATGTCATCAAACAGGAAAATAATAAGTAAGAAATCACCAGAATTTGATTTCCTGCTCTAAAAAGCTAACAATGATGACTACCACAAACTGAGCTCTTAGAAAAAAATTTGATGCGTTTCTATTTTCTGTTGTCTTTGCTTTTCTTTAATGTTTCGAAATTTTGAAATATACTACTTAAAAAAAGTTTCATGTTTTGTTTTGTTAACAGTAATTCAAACTTTATCAAGTCTCAGAATCAGTCTTCTATGACATTCAAAATCCAGTGTCAGAGCTGACTCACTATGTAAGCCAAATAACAATATAGTTTTAAGTCCTCTGGAAACCTAAAGAACTTTTTCTTCTGCTCTCACTGAAGACAAAGACATAGTCAAACTTTATGTGATCTAAAAAAGTATCTGAATGCATTCTCTCTCGTCAGAAGTGCTTGGCAGCAAGAATATTTATGAAGTTTCAAAACAAGAGCAAAAATATTTGGTAATGTAGACACGTGAATTTCTCATTATTCATCTACCTTAGGGTTTTATAAAATAGACAACATTACATCAAAAACTGCAGGAGGATAATTTAAAAACTGCAGGCATACAAAAGTAAATAAACAGAGGTGAGAGACTCTCAGAGTAATCAGATGTAGCAACATTAATGACTCAACTGTTATTTACTGAACATTAAGAAGTTGAATTAATTGGCCTTCAAATTTCAGGATTCGTGTTATGAAAACCAGCTCCACAGAAAATATAAATCTAGAGATATCAAGATGTTTCTGAAGAATTTTGATACAGACATATATATGGTTGTTCTAACGTTGCGATGAAAATGTGAATAGGCCAAATGGATAAAGTCAGTAAAAGCATACATACGTACAATTATACAATTCTAATGCATTATAAAGAAAAAAGAAAAAAAGAAAAGACAAAACAAGTGATGTATTTGAGAAAAAAAAAAGAAGAAAAAAAACTCCTTTAGGAAAAGCTTTAAATCCTTGTTTTTTACAATCAGCTGTTTAGCATTACACAAAGCTCAGTACTGAGAACTTCCTTTGACAGAAGAAAAGAAGACGATAGCAGAGCTATGCAAAATTGAAATATACAGATGTACAAGGTTGCAGTGAAAGTAAAGGGAAATATGGTGGGCAGGTGTTAATATAGTTATCTTACTGAGGAGAGGAAGCCATGAAGAACACAAGCATAGTTATTAAAGGATCTTTTGCCCATTGCTCACTACTGCTTTATTTTCCATTTTTAAGTTTCCTTTAGAGCCAGAAAAGTATTCAAAATTCAGGCTTTTTTACCCATCTTTAAGAAATCTAATTGATTTTATTTACTTGGGTTTTTCAAGAGTCTTTACAAAACACAACCAAACTTTGTGCAATTGTAACTCGTTTAGTGGTTGAACACTATGAGATTCAATCCAGGAAATTAGAATTTTGCCTTCTGCAAGCAAAAGTGTCAGTCTTTCAAAAAAGGCAGTGTTTCACACTTTTAAAGGGTAGAAGAGATCACCATGACCTTCAGGCTAACACAGAGCAGAAAAGATTGCTCAATAATTCCAAAATAATCCTTGTTTTCCTTGACTCCAATTCAATATAGACAGGGCATCTTTTCTTAAGTCTGTAAAGCTCTTGAAATCAATGACACTGCCTTATTTTATTATACACTTGATGAACATGTCTGTAATATTGAGCTGTGTTCTGGTTTTAGTCTTATCTCTTTTATACGGATTTAAATTATATTTATTACTGTAAAAGCTATTTTGTAGAAGTAATATTTTATTTTATATATTTTATTTTATATATTTGGATATTTTCAGGGAAAAGAGCAGTAGGACTCTGGAGTGGTAACTGAATAAATTTGACTACTTTTTTCTTTCTGTGTGTGTGAGAAAATTCTACTGCTTAATGATAATCCCCATAACACCCCTTGGCACTTCCTAGAACCAAGAAGATGCCGTGCCAGTACTGCCTTATAATTCTATGTACCTCTGGACTCCCGCAAAAACTCTGTATCTTCCAATAATTCAACTAAACTCTGATTGATTTGCTCAGAGTAAAAACAGAAATGCATAGACTAAGAAGAATATAATATTACTTTTCTACTTGTAGCTTCAACAGTTACTACCAGGTACACTAGTTATTGGAGACAATTAGACAAGTCAATGAGGAACAAAAATCTAGCTTTTGAACCAAGGAGTATCACAGAAAACAACAAATATCACAGATCCTCACAAAGAGACTATATGGAGTAATTTGTCAAAATATCTTGGGGATGATATAGAGAGGTCCTTCTCACACCCCAGTAAGAGATATCAATAACTGAAGTGATCATGAAACAACTTCCATAGAATTGCCATAGAATTAAACCCTGAAACTCACTACAGGACAATCAAAACTTCAAGCAGATTGAAAAAAAAAAAAAAAAAAGATTTAGAATATGTATAAGTACAAAGTTCATCTAGGATTTCTTTAAGCAGAATGATTAGTTTATAAAGAGTTATTTCTGACTAAGGGGAAAGGCAGGATGTAGGAAAATGGTAAGCAAAGCAGAATCCACTGACTTCTGATACCTAGCCAAAAAGTATCTGTTCATTATTTGTGGACAACAAAATCCATAGAAACAAGTACAATATTCCCCTATGGGAATCTTCTGTATTCTCTATATTAATTTTACTTTTTATTTGTTTTGCTTTATCTCTACTTTTGGCTATTAAAAAAAGTACATCTTACATCAGTAAGAGTGGTGAGGCACTGGAACAGTTTGCCCAGAGAGGTGGTGGTTGCCACATACTGGAGAAATACCAGGTCAGGTTGGACAGGCCTCTGAGCACTCTGATCTAGCTTCGGATTTTGTTCATTGCAAGGTAATTGGACTAGCTGACCTTTAAAGGTCACTTCCAAATCAAATTTATATGAGTCTATGAGATACTTTCAGAGAATACTTAGCTTTTACTATGGTAGGTCCTCACAGACTTGTTAGATGGGCTACACTTCTGTGCTCACATCATTCTCTTCTGTTCTAAGATCTGCAAATCATTCACGTGAACAATAGTTGAATAGATCACCATCATTTTTCCCTTTGTTGTTGTTTTTTTTTTCTTTTTCTGTTGAAAATCCTTTTAAATATTCTTGTATTTACTATCACATAATTTTGTCAGCTGGTCCTCTAAATGTCTAAGAATATAATGTTCTTCCAGTATCTTCCAGAGCATCATCAGATTTTCTCAAAACATGCTGTTTACTTTCAGAAACAATGTGTTGATCTGGATAGAAACTAAATTTCTTCAGACTAAACATGTGTATTTCACATATGTTCAGAGTATTGGAATACAATTAAAAACATCATATCTTCATTTAAATTTATATTTTAAGTGGCTTTTTTAAAAAATTAACACTCAGTAAATGCTTGCAAGAGAAGACAACAGCAATAAACAAAGGAAGATGGATTGGCAGATTCAGGCCTGTTGCTTATGTGAGTACAGGAAATTGCACAGTGGGGAACAATTGGCACCACAGAAACAAGCCAGTACAAAGGAAGATTTTAGATATTCTTGTAGGGAAAGGAAGTAAACTAGAAGTGTACTAAATGGGAACATGAACAAATTAATGCAGCAGCATATCTCATTGTATTTTCTTTTCCTTCTGACTGCTGCTGTGCTCTCTATTGCTGCCTTTGGGAACATAAACGGCTGTCGCAAGTGCTGAATGGAGGAAAGAAGATTTCTGTTCCTCTCCTCCGAGATAAAACATGCTGAGCTCCATTAGCTCTTTTGTACGCTGTTCTCAGGGACTGTTTCCTCAAAATAGGGGTATGCTGCCAGAGAACACCAGGATAACAGAAAAAGAATAAAAAGAGTTTTCAGAAGTGTTCTGCGTCAGAGCAATTTTCCAAAGACCCCAGATTGCACTAAATGCTCTGGAAAAGTGATAGGGAAATTTTCAGCGGGAGTTAAATGGTAGACAAACTTTGGAAAATTTTATCTTCATTCTTGGTTCTGAACTCTTAAAGTTTTCATCTGTTACAAAAAAAAAGCTAGTTCAAGCCTGGATAGGAAATAAGAACTTGATCTTTTGGAAAGCGTCAAGAATTTGATTCTGCACTGGAAATAGAACTAGATCCTGGGATTATGGAAATGATTGGTTCTGGCTCTTGATTTGGTTTTGGTTGTTTGGTTGCTTAGGAAAAAAGTAGGAGATTTCACTCACTGTCACTCTGTCACTTATTCCTTTCTCTGTCACTCCAGAGAACAGCTCAAGAATGTGGGACACTTAACTACAGTAAGGGGACCCCAGCTGAGGTTTCTGTTCTGCTTTATGAAATTTGTCTCTAATGTCGGGATACTGGTGGTGTCAGAAGTGTCTGTATGGTCATTTTCAAAAGTTCCACCCTGGACCCATGACAGCCCTGGACCACATTTCACTGTGGTGGATTTGGCTCTATGGACAGTTTCCACTTCACTCAGTCAGAATTTCCTCACTCCAGAAAAAAATAAAAGAAAATAAAACCTCCTGTTCAGCTTTGGCAGGGAATCATGCCAACCCTTGGCATTTCACAGCTATAAATGAAAACAGGTTTTACATAAGGCAACAATTGTTTTATATTAATACATATATATATATATATGTATAGAATTACCCAGATCCTGATTTCTTTTTGTCCTTTTTCTTCTTGTTGGCCTTTTCTTTCTTCCCTTTCTTATCAACCTTTTTGTCCTGTTTCTTCTCATTTTTGCCTTTTCCACTCTTACCCCCTTTTTCATCTTCCTCTTGTTCATCATCTTCCTTTGATTTTTGATTTGCCTGGTTCTTTCTGGCTTTTGTAGGATCCCCCTCAGAATCACTGCCCTCATTTCCTGCTCGGCCCCGTCCTCTCCGGTTTCTCTGCCTGCGTTGCCCAGCTCTCCTTGTTCCATCTTCATCATCTCCATCCTCCTCACCACCATGCCTGGCTCTTCCTCTTCCATGTCCCCTTCTGGTTCTCGGTTTTGCTCTCTTCCTCTCTTTATCTGTGACAGAAATGAAAATATGAGGGAAGGTAGTATTTTAGAGAGAGAGATCTTCCCTCTTTCATTTAGATAACTGAACGTGGCCTCAAAGTTATCCACACCTACTGACCTGCTCCTCTGTCATTTTCTTGATTCTCAGCTGCACTGTCTTCTTCATTGTTGACTTCACTGACATCTGTAATTAGAAAACGAAAGCAAGTGCATGTGAAGTATGGATTAGTCAATAGGAACAGGGTGTTTACGAAATTACCACATTGTGCTCCATTACATCATTCCACAAATCCAGCTTTTTGAACAAGGAGAACAGCTTTCAAGAAATCAGATGAAAACAGAAATAAAAAAAGTTTTATCTTCTTTCCGCACTAAAATAAGTAAAACTGAAAGTGATGGCACTGAGAACTTAATCTTACAGAGCAGATATGTAGGACAAGAGGACCTAAAAAAGGAACACTGTAAGCAGCAGCACCCTGTAACTGAAGGAATAAATGAAGGAAGATGAAGATGATTCTCAAGCAATTCTCAGATTTTCTTGGACGTGAAAGATAAGCACTGGCTGAGATTAAAGATGAAAAGAGTCATTAAATGATTTGACAGAATGGAGAGCTATTTGACGAAATTTTATAGCTGTAGCACTGCTGAAGAGTACAATCCCAGAGAAAAGAAGAAAGTTGCTCTCAGATCTTCAGTTTCAGCAACCAAATCTCTGAGCATATCATAAAAGTTGACACAGCTCTCTTGTATTCTGTACATGGTCCTCTTCTGTCCCTCAAGAGATGACAGAAATCTTGGAGACTTTGGAGGGAGAGCCTACTTACAGAAGCCAGTAGTATTTCTGCAGAGATGTCCTTGTTTTGGAGTGAATCCATTGCTTATGTTTGTTAGTCTCAACAAGTTCAACATGAGAGGTTGTTTCTGCTGTTTATCAGTATCCAAGACAGTGGATCATATATTTATGGAGAAGAAAAACACTCCTCTCTATCATGTCCATTATATCCATCATATCATATTCATATCATAATACTACATATTCCATATCATGTCACTACCAAAACTGGTAGTTCACCAGCAATGTACCTTCAGAAACAGTCCAACTAATACCTGAAAAACTAGGAGCTGAAAGGTTTTCTTCAGGTATCCTTGTTTAAGTTTGTAGGTGTGGAACAGCATGCCAGTGGAATATGTAGAGATACATGGCAGTAAGAGATCAATGACTAAGAAATCATGCCTTGAACAGAAGTAGACAGCTGTCATTAGGCTCCGATATAGCATGTATGTTCAGACGTATATGCTTGATATGTATAAGTATGTATAAGCCATCCCTCGTACAGACAGGATATGTGGCGTGTTGTGATCTCTGTGCTACAGTTTTCAGACAAGAGCAAAGTACAAATATTTTCCTTCTTCATTCATGCATAAGTCTTTTGGACTCTTCTTTACATTCTGTCTTTCTCCACCCATTCTCTAGTTACTTTTATAGATTTTATGAAGCCACAGAGATTAACTGAAAAATTATAAACAAACTGATTTATCAAGGAATTGTTACAGCTGTCAGGATCAATTTCTTAGTTCTATCTAGTATCAAAGAAAATATGGAAGACTGAAAACAAGAAAGAATCTAGAGTATTGTTTTACTGTATACAGTAACATGCAAAGTATTACTACACAGAATTTGACTGGCATTTTAAAACTAGGACTGATGAAGAGAGCTTAAGTTCCTTTCACAAAACATTTTATTGTAATTACAATTACTATCAAGTCAACAGCACCTGTACAATATTTTTTTTAAGACAACACAAAAAATGTTATCATAATATCATCGGTGGAATGTGAAAATAAGTGCTCCTTTGTTCTCTCTGGACATATGCCTTCTGTTACTGACAGTAACTAGATCTCCATTAGACAAAGATCATTACGTTGCTATTGAAAGTCTGCAAAGATGACAACAGGCACTTCTGAAGGGATACTCTGCATGCCACAATGGGGCATGGTTTTTTATTTGCAGCTAATGCTTTTGCTGATCTTCTGTAGCCAAAAAGAGATTCCCAGGGAAGCACTTAAAGATACAAGATTGGCCTCACTGCATATTCCCCAAGTACATACAACAAGCAATCAGATGGAGGTTTATCATGCACACTGAAATGTGCATTACCAGCCAAAGTGTGTCAGGCTGGAACTAACATAATATTGACATAATAGTGACATTAACTATGAACTATGTAATACAAGATTAAATACAGCCTAGTATAGATGTTGAACTTTAATTAATTTTTAAATTTTTAATTAATTTTCTTCAATTAATTTTATCATAAGGGTAAAAAATGTGATAGCCTGAATCAAGTATTTCAGAAAAATTAAATGTGAAAATAATCGATTCTTGAAGAAAGTATCAGGCATGCTGTTAGAAGGGAGAATAGTGAGGCCTGTGTGTTTAAATCTTTTTTTCATAAAAGTTCACAGACACAAAAATAATAACAAGTTTTCACAGAATTGAGAAAAAAGAAAAAAAGAAAAAAAGAAAAAAAAAAACAACGTGGAATTAAATGAGAGTGGCTGTTTCCCCAAAATGCGTCTAGAAAAAAACAACCAATGATAATAGATAATCATGTGGCTAAAAGAGTAGAGAGTACTACAAGCATCCAAAGAAGCATCCAAAGTACATCTTAAAAAATTATTTTATCTCCAAACTTCAAAACATTCCTGTCTCCACAGACCCATGCTCACCTACAGATACAAACATACCCAATTTGTTTCTGAGCTTACACTGAAAACAAAACAAAACATAACAAAAGAGCCTCCTATTCCTTTTATGATAAGTAGACAACTATTGTCAGCTGTTCTGAGACTCAATGGTATGCACAGTGCTATGATTCACACAAAAAGCACTTAAATGTTGCCTGTGCTGCACTCAGCTATAAAGATTTTGGTAAATATTCAGAAAGAAAAATGTCTGGGGTTTATCACTCTCTTTCTGCTGTATATATGAAATGAGAGCTCTCTTCCAGGTTGTGGGGTGTCATGCTGGAAGCATTGCACAGAATTTATTTTTGAAAGGCAGAATTCAGACAAAACTCTGTGTTGCATTGTACGTCGTGAACTGTGTGATAAGAAAAGCTGAGGCTCAGAGTAGAACTAGAAGTTCAAGAGAACAAAACTCACTAAGGGGGCAAAGGTTCTTTGCTATTCCTCAGGTCAGGTCTTGAATAGCATGTATGCACGCATTCATATAAGCTACATAGCTATCCAACCCTGCACTCACATTGCAGCAATCTCTGAAAACCTGCAATTCAGTATTGTATTACCATCCTATAGGAAAAACAAAGAGCACAAAAAATGCTCTAATTAAAGTAGGAATGTAGAGTCTTTGATGCAAAAACAAAATCATCACTGTGTAGGATCCTTCTAGGTGTACAGCTTGTCTTCTACATTTTTAAACGTATCCACATGGGATCTTACTTATCAAAAGTTCATCAAAGCATTGACTGACATACATGCTGCAGCAATATCCAGAATTACTCGAGGTTCCAGAAAAGTGTTTATCAGACCTTATTTCCTCACAGTAGTAGCTCTCATAGAGCTCATTTCAGGTAATTGTGGTTTGAGTCAGATAACTTGAATTTATAAGAAATCAGAGCAAACTGTTGCTCAGCTGCCACATTTTCTAGGATACTGCATCCAACCCTGATTAAATGTATATTATCAGGCATATTTCAATCTATATTCCATAACTCCCTATGCTCAAGGAAAGCCAATTGCTTACGGATTTCTTTTACCTAGTAGTCTAAGGGAAAGTTTGTCATTATTCTAGACTAAGGGCAACAGAAGTCTGATTTGAGTAAGTTATCACATCTCTTGAAGTCTTATTTATGTTTTGAAGTATAGCTAGATATGAGACAGCTAGAGTAGAGAGTGTACTGAATCTCAGTTCAAAATAATATAAAGGTCAGAGACAGAACAGTCTCTGACAGAACATACAGTTAATCTCAGAAGACAGTTCAGGAGAGAGCATAGAGTGCTGGCTGGCAAGGAAATTAAGGGCAGAATTCAATCTATAAAACCATAGGAGTCTTTGTTGTGAAGTGACCAACTAGCATAGTGAGGAAATGTTTTATTCTTATCTTCTCAAGTCCTTTGCATTTCATTACCAGAGGACATCTGCCAGATCTCATGCTTTTCTATTAGCATTTTTTTATGCCACAAGGTTGCCTTAATTTCTCATTATGAGAGTGATAATGATTCTTGGAACTACTCCATAGAACATGGCCTGCTATTGTAATATTGCTGCTTAAAATGCGACTGTGGAAAACCGACTGCTGCTAAGCAACTCTGAGTATCCATGCCTCGAAAAAACATCAGTGGAGACCTGTATATGAATCTAAAAATGTTATCAGATTCTTTGCCTATTTTTTGTCACAAAATAGATGTATATTTATTAATTAATTGTTAAGCCAATTAGATGGATCATATGCAGATAGTGTTCTGCAAGCAATTACTATCGTATCTTCCTCTCAGCTTAACCAAGCTGGACTTTTTCCAGTGACAGAAAGATAAACAGCTAATCAACTGGGTGACTAAAAAGCAGAAATAGAAGCCATGAGGGACAGCAAACTCTTGTGAAATTTCAGACAAAAAGAATAGGCACATCTGTATAAAACTCAGTTATTGGAATTTACATAATTTCCATAACATTATTTCATGTAAATAATGCAGTTCCTCACAATACTTCTGAGAGGAAAAATATCTCTAAAAGTAACAGCTGTAAAGCACACCAGAAATAATAAATCAAGAACTTAAGGAAAGTCTACGAAAGTGTGAACTGGTACAGTTATCTACGATTTGAGACATTCATATTAGAGAGCTACTGCTCTCAGTGTAACTCCAAAATGCAAGAAACAGAGTTTGGTTGAAGTACAAGGCAGTATAAAGCCTGCCTACAGTCTTACTCTTTCTCCCAGTAAAGGGTGTCACCATCAATGAACTGTAGAATACCCATGGCTAAATACCATAAACTTCAGCCAAAAGTCCAGTTCCATTTCTAGCATTTAAAAACATAGTAAAAAGAGACTGAATGTATTTGTTTCATCTTTTTATTCCACTCCTCACATCATCACATAAGTTTTTCATACATCCCCAAGTATGCCTTTCAGCAAAAGTTTAGACCCTTGGAAGCTTTATATTTTAATAAGAGCCCAGTCCCATACTTGAAACACCAGATAGATAAAAGTTGCACAGCCAACAGGAGCAAAGGAAAACCAACAGATTTCCATTGTGATTTGGATAAAAAGTTATTGACAAGAGAGCTGAGGTTTAACAATAATGAACTAATTGCCTCGGAAGACAGTGGGCAAAGTCCCTCAGTATGTCCAAGGCTGATGATATGCAAAATGTTTTTTTGTTTTGTTTTGTTTTGTTTCCAAGCACCTGTGTATCTCTTGTGCCAAGTTAAAAAAAAAAAAAAAAAAAAATTATTTGACTAATCTGATAAATATTCTTGAGTATATTCTTTTTTTTTTTCTTTTTTTTTTTTTTTTAATACTATAACACCTCATCAAAGGCTAAACCAAGATTCAGATTTGATGGAGTAACAGAACTTGGAAATGGTGAATTTTAACAAATTACAACTGCACCAATACTGAAAGCTTAACAGCTAGCATGTGAAATTTTTCTCTGGAGCAATCTAGAAAGACTGGGAGAAACAGAAGGGTTTTATAAGTATCAATCAATGTATTCCAAATTCAATTACATATAATTTATATCTGTCATTGTCTGTATCACAGATGTGGAAGCACAGCATTTTATCGTGTACAAAAAAAACAAACCAAACCAAACCAAACCAAACCAAAACAAAACAAAACAAGAGGAGTACATGTCAAAGTCCAAAACCATACATCAGATTATTTATTTCTTGTCTAATAAATATCATGCTTCTACTTTATTTTCAGATTTGTACCAGGAATCTGATGTAGTGTTAACATTGCAGTCATATTTCCAGACTTAAGGCTTCTTTGAACCTGATCGATAGTTCAGAATTGCTCTCTGCTCACTTCTACAGCAAATAAAAACACTGTAGAGACAGCCAAGTAAGTTATTTGCATCTTTCCAAAATGGCTTAACCTTAGGCCTTTTTAATGACTTTCTATTTCCTGCAATTAGATTCTGACAACTAGGTGAAACATAGTTCCTCTTTCCTATCTCTATCCCCAACAAAATAATTGCCATGTTTTATAACTAAAAGCATTTTAGTATTACCTAGATTCAGAATGTTATTATTAGGAATTCTCATTAGCTAAACAAATTATGAAAAGCAAACATAAAGAATCTGCTTGGAACTTGATAGGTTGTATATGTTCATGTTCCTCTCATGTTCTTCATTACATTTCATTAAATAACAGAATCAACAGAGTTGCCACTACAAGATGTAAAATTATTTAGATATTCAAACATTTTTGCCAAAGCTCAAAGCCTTCCATTTGTATTTTAATTCTTGGAGGCAAACGAGATAATAGTTACATGCCACGTATTGCTAAGTGCTAAATTTAAAGTCTGAGAATGGCTTCAGAAACACAGGAGAGAGAATCCTATTTTGAACATACCAGATTTACATCTTGTATGAAGTGTCCTATATAAGCAGAAGCCAAAACCTATTGTTGAAATTTTTTCTGACCTGTTTCAGAATTCATTTATCTCTTAGTTTTCCAGCAACTTTGTTTGAGAAGGAAAGATAATTTCATAGTCATAGCAATGAAAAGCAAACCTTCATACTGCCCTTGAAAGTATCCCAGAATTTTTTTAAAACTAAAATATGAATTGAAACACAGACATTATCAATAAGAATTGCAATTCTAGAGTTACTAGAACACTTAATATTTGAGACCATGCCTGAATTTTTTCACAGATAGAGTTGTGTATTTTCTTCCTGTGGATTAAAATAAAAGTTACTGTCTGAAAAAATATCAGTAAAAAATATGTCCAGCGGTAGCTCTGAATTGATTAAGTAAAACAATAATTCATATTCAGTCACACAAGCAAATATATTGCTTATTTTTCTGCATCTAAACTGCCAATGATGCAGATACTAAAGTAGACAGAATACTTGTAGTATCAAGTGAGGGAGACACCAGAAGTCTGGTAAAGCTAACTATAACTAGTTTTAGCCCAGTCAACATTTGAAAATTACAGATAGGAACCACAGGGGATAAATCATTTTATTTTGATTTACATCTATGAATTGCTCGTTGATTGGTAAGGAAAAATGCCAAACGTTTTCTAAATGTTCTGCTGAAACAACAGAATGAGGTAGCATAGATTAAACAGGTATGGAAGGCTGGCAATATATAATCCATCTGACTACAGTCTGCTTTTCCGTTTTCCTTTTGAGCTGTACTTAAATGCTACAAAGTGCTAGAATTGTTTCTCGCAGAAGGCAGGGGAAGTAGATAATTCAAAGAAGAACCCCTCAGAAAATCATCCCCTTCATGAAAGCATAGATAAAATTTTCCAGGCCACTATCTCTGTGGATGCACTTCCGTTTCCCTCCCTGGCTTGACTATGGGCAAGTTTTCATTGTTTTCATTGAAGTCTTTACTTCAAGTACTAGGACAAGAATATTAAATGTCCAATGCTTCACACATGTGAAATGACAGTAAATGATACTGATCTGACCTCTTTAGGTTCTGAAATGTGATTTACTTAACTTATTCATTCATTGTACTGTTATCATGAGTCTATATAGAACATGGATTTATATGAAAAAAAATAGCCTATATTCAAGCAAGAAGAAAAATCTTACTTATGCTGATAAATATTTTGCCTACACTACACTAAATTTTGTTTTTCTTCTTTGATAAAAGGAGCTCAGTTAGAAAGTACTGCTTGGAAAATGTCAGTATCGCTATTTGTAAAAAAAAAAAAAAAATGGGGAAAAAAAATGAAGATGCTCATATAGGAGGAAAAAAAAAAACATTATCACCACTAACTGTACTATGGGTTATATTCTGATAAAATTCTAAGTCCCTTCTGAATTTTTCTACAGAAGCATATCTTATTGTACTACTGTTTCATATTATGAGTGTGGATTAAAAAAAAAAATAAAGCACAAGCACTTTTGCATAGCTTCAGCCCTGGTATTTAGCAAAACCTAGCAAGAACGAATTCATTCATGTTCTAACATTCTGAATGTCATGCCAGCCTTATATTTAAAAAAGATCAATATTCTTGATCCTTCCTTTGAAAGAATGGTGTTGTCCATGAGAATTGAAACACTTCCCACATTAACAAGATACTTTGCACTCTGTCGGAAAAAAATCACATCATTATAATCCTACAAAAATGTTTCTTGTATCCAAATCATTCCAGTATCTGAACAGAATTATTGTTAATGTTTTATCTTGATTTTAACACTAAATGTTGAAAGGAATGAGCGAAAGAGCCATTGCATTCATGTATCTTACAGAAGCCAAACAATACCCTAATTTCCTCAATCTTTCCATCCAACTGCATATAAATGTATAATAAGTAACTGGACTGTGTTTGGACTCTTTTGATTTACTAACTAGTGGAGAGCCACACTGCTATCCCATAGCTAACCAACTTACAGCAAAGCTGTCTTCGAAGGGGAAGTAAAACACACATTTGAACAAAAGATGAAGAATTACAATAAAAGCAATTTTGCATCAAAAGAAACAAGAGGAAAACAAAACTTTCACATTGTTGATCTACATGCAGAAAAAGAGTATATGCTTCATATATATAATTATAGTTGTAATTACCATTTTCTTCATTGGTGGCTGGCTTTTCATTTTTAGGCATTGTGACTGTATTTCACAGGGCTGCTCCAGATGCCACCAGTATAGGAGACTGTCTGAAGGTTGAGCGGTCTGCGATAAAGTGCTATCCACATCAACTTTGTCCTGTCTGTCACTGCACGGATGGTGCTGGTGAAGTTTCACCGACTGAAATATAAGAAGATACTAATTTCCTAAGTAATTAATCTTTCATGAATGTTTAGTTTACTACTTAGGTTTTGCATGCTAGGGTCAAAAGAATGGAAGAAGTTGTTCATCTTCTTATTACTGAAAAAAAAATTAAAAAATTCTGCAATGTACTCATCTATGACTAACAGCAATGTTTAAATGTAAAAGTGCACTGTTAGGCACAGATGTTGCATGGTGTTCACTTGGGGAAACTTTGACACTGTACGCAGGTCTACACTTCAACAGTGTTGCATAAGGAAGACTGCATACTAATGTTTTTTTCTTATGAAAAACAACCTTTGTTGTAGATACATATTTAGATGGCTTATCTTTACCAAAAAGAAAAAAAAAAAAAAAAGGAAAAAAAAAAAGCATCCTAAAATACATTTACAATAGAGCAAATGGAACTAGACACTGATATATCTGTTGGTTTGTATTTGCATCACTGGATGTAGAAATTCCCTTAAGATTCTCTGCTTTTCCCAGTATGCAAATATTAATGCAGTATGCAGTATGTATGTGTATGCAGTAACAGATTTACCCTGACTCACCATGGACTTACAACACTAGAAAGTCTTTATGATAAACAAAGCAAACATTTTATTAATGAGACACAAGTCAGGCGTGGAAATAAAAGATTAGAAATAACGTGTTACAAGTATCATCTTTGGAAGAAGGGACAGGCAACTTCAAGATAGTACAAGAATGTTGCAAAAAGAAAATCAGAAAGGCAAAAGCCAAGCTAGAACATAATCTGGCTACTGTTGTGAAAAATAACAAAAAATGTTTTCACAAGTATGAAGGCTGTTCTGAAAGTAATGCTTCCTATTCTATTATGTTGATCAGCAATGTCAGAGGTAAATGTTGGTGGTATGGTTGTAGAGGCCAAACTTTCCAACCAATATTTTCTTACATTTTGTTGCCGTGTAGTTTCCACAGAAATAAACGGGAGGGATTACTTTTGGGACAACCTACATACATAAACAACAAAAGAATGCCAAGGAGAATCTCCATTCTTTATTGCATGTGGCAGAGAATATTACCACCAAGGATGAGGAAAAGGCTAAGGTACTCAATGCCTTTTTTTGCTTTTGTCTTTAACAGTCAGATCAGTTACCCTCAGAGTACTCAGATCCCTGACATGGAAGACAGAGATGGGGAGCAGAATAAACCTCCATAATTCAGGAGGAAACAGTTACCTGCTACTCCAACTAGACTATCACAAGCATTTGGGACTCGATTAAATCTACTCAGGAGTACAGATGGAGCAGGCAGAAGTGCTCGCCAAGTCACTTTCCATCATTTATCAGCAGTCTTCATCAACTGAGAAGGTCCCAGAGGACTGGAGACTCACTAGTGTGACACCTGCATACAAGAAGGATGATGCAGGAAATGACAGGCCCATCAGCATGACTTCAGTATTAGGGAATGTTATGGAGTAGATCATTTTGAGTGCAATCACATAGCATGTGTGGTACAACCAGGGGATCAGGTTTAGCCTGCATGGATTCATGAAAGGTAGATCCTTGCTTGACCAACCTGCTCTCCTTCTATGACCACGAGACCTGCCTGGCTGATAAGGGAAAGGCTGTGGACATAGTTTGCCTCAACTTCAGCAAAGCCTCTGGCACTGTCTCCCACAGTATTCTCCTGAAGAAGCTGGCAGCTCATGGCTTACACAGGTGAAGTCTTTTCTGGGTAAAAAAAAAATGGCTGAGGAGCTGGGCCCAGAGTGTGGTAGTAAATTGAGTGGTAAATCCAGCTGGGGAATAATCAAAGAATCACAGAATCATAGTCATATGTTCTGTAGGGGTCAGTACTGGGGCCTATCTTTCTCAATAACCTTATTGATCTGGATGAGAGTATTGAGTGCATCCTCAGTAAGAATGTAGATAACACCAAGCTGGGAGGAAGTGTCAATGCCTGGGAGAAGGAAGGCCCTACAGAGCAATCTGGGCAGGCTGGATAGCTGGGCTGAGGCCAGTGGGATGAAATTCAATAAGACCAAGCCCCAGATCCTGCACTTTGGCCACAACAACCCCAGAAAATGTTACAGGCTTAGGACAGAGTGGTTGGAAAGCTTCACACAAGAAAGGATCTCAGGATGTGGGTCAGTAGCCAGCTGAACATGATCCAGCAGTGTGCCTAGGTAGCCAAGAAGGCCAAGCATCCCGGCTTGCATCAGAAACAGCACAGCCAACAGTACCAGGGAAGTGATTGTCCCCCTGTACTTAGCATTGAGACCATACCTCAAGTACTGTGTTCAGTTTTGGGCCCCTTACTACAAGAAAGACAGTGAGGCCCTGGAGCATGTTCAGAGGAAGGCAGTGAAGCTGGTGAGCAGCCTGCAGCACAGGTCTTACTTAAAAGGAGCAGCTGAGACAACTGGGATTGTCTAGGCTTGAGAAGAGGAGGCTCAGAGTAGACCTCATCACTTTCTTTAAATCCCTGAAAGGAAGTTATAGTGAAATAGACATCAGTCTCTTCTCCCACATAACTAGCAATAAGAGGTAATGGCTTCAAGTTGTGCTAGGAAGGTTCATGTTGGATATTAGGAACTAATTAATCTCTGAAAGTGGTAAGGCATTGGAACAGGATATCAGGGCAGTGGTTGAGTCACCATACCTGGAGGTGTTCAAGAAAGGTGCAGATGTTGCAATTAGGGACATGATTTAGCAGGCATGATCAGTTTTCATCCTCTTTACAGCACATCAGTCTTGCAGAAAAATAAATAAAGACCCTAAATTTAATTTATCTCTATGTGACAGCAATCAGAACAATATGGAGTTACTGAATTCCATAACAACTGATAGAAAAAAATGGAGACAGGTCAAGGGAACTTTGGCTCATTTCTTAAAAACTTCATTGAACAACATATATATATATATATATATATATATATATATATATATTTAGCAAATATGCCACACTTTTATTTGTTCAAATCTGTACCTCCTCATCAGGGAAAATTTCTACACAGTAAAAATGCAGTTGCATGCACAATACACAAAGGCTGAAGATCAAATCAAATAATTATCCCTTTACCATAGCCAAAACTGATAAAACACCTGCAAAGAAGGAAGAGTAAACATATTCTTCCTCATATCATTAAATGGTAACTTGTTTGATAGCCAAAGGAGACAAAGTTGACATCAAACAATGACAACATAACTATGGTTAGTACAAATATTTGAGTTCCGGTAAATTTCTCAGGCTCAATTTTGCTTGTAGTCAGCATTTAAGTTATAGTGACATAACCTACTAACTGTAAAATAACCACTTTCCTGATGTTTCTGCCCATCTGTCCACTTCTGCGCACTGTCAAGGTGTCATTCTAGTAAGATGAAGATTTTGACTTTCTGCAGTTCAAGATGCATTTTCCATTGATTTCCATGTACACTGTAAAACCTAAGGCAATAAATAATTTTCTAGGAGACCTTTTCTACTGAGATTACTTTTCAGGATGGAATTCTAAAATGCTGTTTTGCTTTGGGTGCACGAAATGCATATCCTGATCTGTTGAATCAGATGGTAAAATCAGGCAGTTCTAGAAGTGGGTATGAAAGCAAGCAGAAGTCACTGCACTGCTACTGAAAAGGCCTTTTTTTACTATGTAAGGTAATACCAATACCTGCATTGATCCTTCCCTAACCTACTGCATCCAAATGAGTCAGACAAGCCTGAACAGCATTAATGGTAAGTCTGCACCTAACATCCTCATTATCCCACATTGTTTCACAGCTCAGTGGATGGTTACACAGATCATGTCTGGGAGCAAAAGGAGACTGCAATGGGAGGGCCAGGGCAGAATGCTGGTGACCCCAGGAGGGTCAAAACATCCTTAAGGGGCACAACCCTACCGTATGTCAAAATCAGGGTAGTGGTGGAAGCACCAGAAGTCCCTGTTGAGGCTGGGCAGGCACCGTGTCAGGTGACAAATCCCATTAATTACAAATCCCATTAATTAATTTCATGGAAGAAACATAAAAGCTGGCTTGCACCAATATTGACTCCCAAATTAGCTTTTCAGCTCCTGAACACTGATCAGGCACTATTGTGTAACAGAAACACAAGTAACCTTGCTCTGATGCCACACTGGTATTCATAGAAAAAGAAAAAAACACAGCTACTTCATAAATTGACATGCAGACAAAATTTGTGTGGGTAGAGGTCTCTGAACATCAAATGAAAAGACAAATCTAACACTTGAGCCAAACATCTGTATGAAATTTAAATAAAGTTTAGCATGTATTTTTTCTGGAGCCAATTGAGGCTTTCCTAGCATTTCTGAAATAATGTATTACAAATATTCTTGAAAATCTGGAAGCTGAACCAAAAGAAAAGCAGCTATATTTTTAACTGTATATTAGGTACCCTATGCTCTACTTGTAGACACTATAATTGGGTTCAAGGGAAAAGCATTTGAATCATAAAATCACTGAGGTTGGAAAAGACCTTAAAGATTATCAAGTCCAACTCTATGGACCTAACTCTATCCTAACTCTAACAACCCTCCACTAAATTATGTCCCTGAGCACCAGATCCAAACAGTTTTTAAACACATCCAGGGATGGCAACTCAACCACCTCCCTGGGGAGCCTATTCCAGCGCTTAACAACCCCTTCTAAAGAAGTTTTTCCTGATATCCAACCTAAACTTACCCTGGCACAACTTGAGGCCATTTCCCCTCGTCCTGTCACTTGTCACCAGTGAGAGGAGACCAACCCCGCTCTCGCTGTAAGCACCTTTCAGATACTGGAAGAGAGCAGTAAGTCTACCCTCAGCCTCCTTTTCCCCAGACTGAACTGTCCCCAGTTCCTTCAGTCTCTCCTCGTAGGGCATATTCTCCAAACCCTAGAAGTCTTATGAAAAAAAAAAAAAAACCACCACATTTTTAAGATTTTCTAACATGGATCACAAGAAATCAGGGTGGTATACATGGTTTAAAGGAATTTACCCAAACTGCTTTTGATCAC